GGGGATTTTTAGGGCAGTGAAACTACTCTGTGTGATACTATAAAGATGATACATGTCACTACATATTTGTCAAACCCCTACATAGAATGTACAACACAGAATGAACTTTAATGTAAATTAGGGACTTTGGGTGATAATGATGTTTCAGCATAGGTTCATCTGGTGTGGGATCTTGATAGTGGGGGAAGCTCTGTGTGTGGTGGGGCAAGGAGTGTGTGAGAATTTACCATATTTATGCTCAATTTTTAAAAATGTTTTTTAAAATAGTAAAATATACACAGCATAACATTTGTCATTTACACTAAAGTGTGCAGTTCAGTGCCATTAAGTGCACTCATGGTGTTTGCAACCATCACTATCATCCACCCCCAGAACTTTTCTGTCATCCCATATTGCAACTCTTTCCCACTTCGATTTTGCTGTGAAACTAAATCTGTCCTTAAAAAAAAAAAGTCTATTAATTTAAAAAAGAGGGAGACATAAACTATATGGACAAAAATAGAGAAAGAAGACAACAGCAACAAAATTTTAGAAGCTGGAAAATAGATGAACCAAAAAATGACTAAAAGGCTTGACAGATTAAAAAATTACACTAAAAAGAAACATACTTAGGCTCATTCGTATTTGATAAAATTTCTGTTGAAACCACAGAAGGATAGTTTTTTTACTTCTCAGCTCAGACAAAATGAAAAGATTTGCAATTTCCAGTGAAACTCTGCTCAGCACCCACATTCTTTTTGGCTTTCTTCATACCTCTCTGGTACTTCTGTTGTTTGAGGTTCCAACCAGAATTAAATCTCAAAGCTCTTCAAGGATCAGGATATATGTATTTTCCTCTTATGTTATACTATTCCCTAAGTGACTTAATCTACACTAATGGCTTCGATTAAGAGATACCCAAATTGATTCTGGAAGTTTGGACTTCTTTCTCTTCCATACTTTAGACCTGTATGATCAAATGCTAACTTGGCATTTTCTCTTGATATCTCAATACTACTCAAGTTCAATGTCCCCCAAACTAAACCCATGATATATCCAGCACTCCTCCACAGTAGATCCCCTTTAAGCATTCCCACATCACTCATTTGCACCCCTTTCTGTGTACTTGCTTAAGCTAGAAACTTAAAAGTCAATTCTGATACCTTTTTTTTATTCCACTACCCCATATCAATCACCAACATTTGGTTTTCTTTACTATTTTGAGTCTATCCATTTTGTCTCTCCTTCACTATCTCCTAATCCAAAATAATCTCCCTTATGATTTTACTACAAATTTCTTTCTAAGTGATCATGCCTCATCCTTATGGCCTCTTTTATTTATTTTTTTATGGCCTCTTTTACTTAATTTTATATCTGCAGCCAGAATATTTTCAAAATGTAAACCAAACTGGGATTTAATAAAATAAAAACTCAAAAAAAAAAAAAAAAGAAAGAACGAAAACTGGTGCATGTGCTGTGGAAAACAGTAGGGAGGCTCCTCAAAAAGTTATTTACAATAGCCAAATTATGGAAACATCCCAAATGTCTATCAACAGATGAATGGATAAAGAAGATGTGGTATATATATATATATATATATATATATATATATATATATATATATATATATATATATAATGCAATGTTACTCAGCCATCAAAAAAAGAATGAAGTCATGCTATTTGCAACATGGATGGAGCTAGAGAGTATTATGCTAAGCAAAATAAGTTAGAAAAGACAAATACCATATGATTTCACTCTTATGCGGAATTTAAGAAACTAAACAAGCAAAGGGACAAAAAAGAGACACACAGGGATACCTGGGTGGCTCAGTGGTTGAGCGTCTGCCTTCGGCTCAGGGCGTGACCCTGGGGTCCTGGATCAAGTCCCACATCGGATTCCTGAGGGGGGCCTGCTTCTCCCTCTGCCTGTGTCTCTGCCTCTCTCTCTGTCTCTCTCATGAATAAATAAATCTTTTTTAAAAAAGAGAGAGAGACGCAAAGGAAGAAACACTCTTAACTGCAGAGAGCAAACTGATGGCTACCAGAGAGTTAAATAGGTGATGGGGATTAAGGAGGGCACTTGTGATGAACACTAGGTGTACGGAAGTGCTGACTCACTGGGGCACCTGGGGGCACCAGGGTGCTCAGTGGTTGAGCATCTGCCATCGGCTCAGGTCTCAGGTCGTGATCCTAGGGTCCTAGGATCAAGTCCCGCATCAGGCTCCCTGCAGGGAGCCTGCTTCTCCCTCTGCCTATGTCTCTGACTCTCTTTCTGCCCATGTCTCTCTTTCTCTGTGTCTCTCATGAATAAATAAAATCTTAAAAAAAAGGAAGTGTTGACTTGCCATATTGTACACCTGAAATTAACGTTACACTGTAAGTCAACTAACAGGAATTTAAATAAAAACTTAAAAAATATATATATAAATCTGACCCTGTCAACCCTTCCCTGCCTCTCATATCGCTTGGAATAAAGACACAAGATTCTATATGGTCTGGCAACATCTCTCTTTCCATTCTCATTTTGTAACATGCTCCCTCTCTGCTTTAGTCACTCAAACCCTCTCTCTTTCGGTGGTGGTGTTCACCATACTCCATCAGCTTGTAAAGCCTCTTCTGTGAAAGGTCTTCTGCATGTTAAGAAATCTATTACTAATCATCTTTCAGATTCAATTTTTTTATTTTTTCAGGTATAACGTGACATCTTTGGTTAAGTCAAATCCATCTCTTTACAAACTTTCATAACATTATGTATTTCTGCTCTGTAGCACTAGTTAAATAGCAATTTTGTTTTCATAGTTATTTAAAATCTGTCTTTCCCAAGGTTATAAACTCTCTGAAGGCAACTGCCCTGTAGGTTCTGGCTTACCCTTGTATCACCAGTGTTGGACACAAAGTAACCCTCAATAAATATCAAAGGGACAAAAAGGAACTGAACTTCCTTGAAACTGTACATATACAGATATTAAAAACAGATAATATGCAACAATATGAATGAATCTCAGACATTGTGTTGACTGTAAGAAGTCAGACACAAAAGACTACATACTGTATGATTCTCTTTATAAGATGTCCAACAAAGTAACTACTGGTGTAGAAGTCAGAGTTATGGCTATCTTTGGGGAAGGGATACAGATTTAGGGAGGGTCATGGGGGAACCATCTGGGGCTAGATATGTATTTCAACCTGGGTGATGGTTATACAGATGTGCATATGCACACACGAATTCATCAGTTTTTTAAGTATACTTTTCTGTATATGTTTTACTGTAACAAAAGGAAAAAAAGGCAACATTTTGGGAGGAAAAAAGATAAAAAACTAAGTACTGATAAGAAACAGGTCTACAAGACCTTGGTAAATTAATCACTTTGCACAACATCATGTATGCTATAATCTTGATTTGGTAAAACAATATATACGTATGGTCCTCCTTCTCCTGGTTTCTGCAAATGACAGAAATCCTACCCTAACTTAAATAAAAAATTCATTTACTGACACATACCTGGAAAGCTTACTTAGCTTCAGTGAAACCCTCGAGACCATTCAAAGGCTAAAAATTATTAGGGCACCACACAGAAGTGACCATGAAAATCAGCAGATTACTGTTCTCAGGGTGCTAGAACTAAGAATGATCAGGTTTCAAATGAGCCTTCAAGCTCCACCAAAAAGTCTGTGTACCTATGTATCTGGAGAGGTGTGCCATATACTTACAGACAAAAGCAATAGCAAGCTAGTTTTCAAGCATGTGTCCCTAGTTCTAAAGACATGCAGATTTTCTGAAATGTAGGCATCTGAACTGTGTTTCAGATGGACAATTCTATGTAGCTCACTGCAAAGTGAACAAGAGCAAGAATTCATTTACTGTTCATATTCTTTTTTTTTTTTTATTTATGATAGTCACAGAGAGAGAGAGAGAGAGAGAGGCAGAAACACAGGCAGAGGGAGAAGCAGGCTCCATGCACCAGGAGCCCGATGTGGGATTCGATCCCGGGTCTCCAGGATCGCGCCCTGGGCCAAAGGCAGGCACCAAACCGCTGCGCCACCCAGGGATCCCCTGTTCATATTGATTCTTAACAAAACTGCAGGAAATCTTTTTACTCATATGCAAATCACAAAGCCTACTAAGAGCTCAGTGCTTCAAAAGACAAAAGTATACCCCAAATCACATCAAACCTAATGATTCCTTAAATTTACAAGTTTTATTTAAAAATTTCCTAGGTCAAAAGTTGGAAATAGTCATACAATATCAACTTTACCATCTATTTTTTCAAGTACTTAGAAGAATCATGTATGTTTCATATATCTCAAATAAGTATGTCATTCTTTCATTCGGTAGACATGAGTAACCATGATGAAGGCTGAATCATGAAAAACTGATCATATTTAGCCATTTGTGATCTACAAAGAACATTATCATCTGATTCAACTAAAAATCAAACATTATGATAGGATACAATGGTGAACAAAACAAATTCTCTGCACCTGTGTGAATCTTATACTGTGTGTATATATACATGGGTGGTGGGGAGGGAAGCAGCACAAAACAAATGAACGTATAAAATGGTGTTACATACCTTTGAGAAGAACATAAAAGGTTAAAAGGGATATAAACGGAGCATAGATGAATGGTAGTCACTTATTTTATAGGAGTGGTCAGGGAAGGCCTCACTGATAACATTTGAGCAAAATCCTTAAAAAAGAGGGAGTAAGCCTCTAAATTCTTCTCCAATGAGAAAATCTCATCACTGGACATGAAAATTTCTGCCAAGTTTATGCTGAGAAACACAAGAGCAAATAATTATGCCAAAACCAATGGCATGTTATAATAATTATACCTTTAATTAAACCTTCAGCCAATCTGCACCTAAAGGATATGCCAACAAAATTATCACTGACATTTACAGTTCTTATTCTACATATAACACACACTTCATGTAAATATATTTTTTGTTCACGTTTCCAATCTAATAAATATTCACATATAAGAACATACAAAAAGATAAAGCAATTTATTCTTACATTTTTTGAAGAACCTGGGCCATCACAACCCCATTCGTTAAATCTTCTACGGTCTGGCATGGTGCATCCACATTAAATGTCTGGATCTGGGTGGGGAGAAAAAGAGCGTAGAGGTTTAGGGGGGAGATTCCATGGTTAACCATACAGAGTTTGTAGGTTTCTTTTTGTGATCTCATCTTGGGAGTGGAATAAATTTTTTTTTAAGATTTTATTTATTCTTGAGAGACACAGAGAGGGAGAGGCAGAGACATAGGCAGAGGGAGAAGCAGGCTCCATGCAGGGAGTCCGACGTGGGACTCAATTCCGGGACTCCAGGATCACGCCCTTAGCTGAAGGCAGGCGCTCAACCACAGAGCCACCCAGGTGTCCCATGGAATAAATTTTAAAAAGCAAAGAAGTTGGAAAAGTTTTCCCTTATGGGAAATTTCCTACAGGTTCTCTCTCTCTTTTTTTAAGATTTTATTTATTTATTCATGAGAGAGGCAGAGAGACACAGGCACAGGGAGAAGCAGGCTCCCTGCAGGGGGCCTGACGTGGGACTTGATCCCAGGACTCAAGGATCATGCACTGAGCCAAAGGCAGATACTCAACCACTGAGCCATCTAGGCGTCCCACCTGCAGGTTCTCATTGTAATTTTTTCCCTTTGAGTAGTAAGGAAATTGTGGTGGATACTTAGTGACATCCCAGCATCCATTCTCCTCACAGATAATCTAAGCAAGTCATGGTACCTTCATCCCCTCTACTAGTGATTGACTTAGGACTCACAGGGCAAAGACAATCTGAACCAAAGAGTTGCAGAGTGATGCTTAAACTTGAGTTTCTAGGAAAGAAAAGCCAATCTCCTCTTGATGTGAACAAGTATGTTGCCTCAAATGCCACAAGCAGTCATATTAGGGCTCTTAATGGAATACATTTTAGGATGAGGCCAATGCAGTGTATGACAAAGAGGGATACAAAGAACTAGGTCCTTGAGGCCAAAATTGAGCCACTGAATTACAAAAAAACCGTAAAGCCTATTATGTGAGATAAACTCGTTTAAGACTGGCCAGATTGACAGGACATCTGGGTGGCTCAGTGATTGGGATCAAGTCCCACATCGGGCTCCCTGCAAGAAACCAGCTTCTCCCTCTGTCTATGCCTCTGCCTTTCTCTCTCAGCTTGTGTCTTTCATGAATAAATAAATCTTAAAAAAACAAACAAACAAACAAACAAAAAAAACTGGCCAGGTTGAGGGACACCTGGGTGGCTCAGTGGTTGAGCACCTGCATTTGGCTAAGGGCATGATCCCGGAGTCCTGGGATCAGGTCCCACATTGGGCTCCCCATGAGAGGCCTGCTTCTCCCTCTACCTCTCTCTGTGTCTCTCTCATGAATAAATAAATAAAATCTTTAAAAAAAAAAAGACTGGCCAGGTTGAGACTTCTTTTACTCAAAACCAAAATACCTCTATACAGATGTAGAAGTCACATTCACTAGTTGAAATTAGATATTCAATTCTGATTTTAAATGTATTCTGAATTAGATCTAACTTTGCAAAAAACAAAACTCCCAACTAAATTTGCAATGATCAGCATGACATGGTTGAGAAATAGAAATTATTTCCATAAGATAATACAGCTGAGCCAACAATGATTCTACTCGGTAGTGCAACCAAGACTTAGAAGAAAATAAATCATTAAGAAAAGACAGATGCAGGCCATGCTCTTGCACAGTTTATAGTTTAGCAAAATGAAAGAGAATGACAGGATGTGCAAACACCAACACAAAGGTTAGAAGTGACAGTGAGAAGCAATCTAGGAATGAGAAACAGCTTAGCATGGGATGGGGGGTGGGAACAGGAAGAGATGGAAGAGGTTAAAGAATATAATTGTGAAAGATGGGGCATCACTGTGCAAAACTTCATAAGCCATGTCAGGACTTTATCCTAAGAGCAACTGTGGGGGGTGGGGACCGGGGAGGCAATAAGCAAAGGAATCCAAGCAGGAGACTGAGGCAATGAGATTTGCACTGTATAAAGATCATCCTGTATGCGGTATGAAGAAAGGATTGGAGGGAAAGAGGCACAGAGACCTATTTTAGTAGGTTTACAGTATTAACATAGCTGAGGTCAAACCAAGTAGAGACAATGGAAATGTTGGGAAAAATACTCAATTCTTCTCACACATTTTTATTTATTAGGTTACACACTCAGAAATGAAATTACTAGGTCAAAGTATATGCACATTTCAAGGTTTTTGATAAATACTGACAAACTGTCCTCAATTCTATTAATTCGGTTCTAGGAATTTTCTCACTTCGTAACAGTAGGTGTCTACTTCTCTATACTGTATCATTTATAAATCTTAAAAAAAAAAAGCTACTGATAAATGCAGTCGGTACCTTATTTATGTATTCTATACAGGAGAGTCTTGTGAGTAGTGATGGTTATGGTGATGGAAACTAAGGGAATTATCCTAAAGATCACATAACAAGTGGTTCTTACTCCATTTGGGAGAGGCAGTAAAAAGAAGCCATTCCCTAACACTAATATCATTCCTGGTAAAGTTTTAATAAATAATTAGTAAATGAATAAACGGAACAAATAAACATCATCTGTAGGAACTGATATTAAATCCTATTCTACATTATCTCCAGCTACCTTCTCAATAGTAATGTGGTAACAATGTAGTTTAAAAAGAGATAAGCACCTGCTTTCATTTTACAGTTGATAAATCAATCTCTTTCTTGTAGGTTTAGAATGAAAAAGAGGCAGCAGTGAGGGTCACAACTCATTTAATATCTCTTCACCTCTAATCTTAGCACAATGTCTGACATAGAATAAGCCCTCAGTGAGCATTTGAATGTAATGAACTAATTCTATCCCAGCTTTGCTCCTAATTTGCTGTGTGAACCTGAGTGTGCCACTTTACCTCTCTCAATGTGAGTTTTTAAATCTAGCAATTGGGAAAAATACCTTATGGGGAGGTGTGTTGGTAAAGGAATAAATGAGAAAATGAATGTACATTAGGTACTGTGCTAAGTCTAAAGTAGCAGTTCCCAAACCTGGTGTACCTCAGAATCATCTGGGAAGCTGCAAAAGGCTGAGAATTGATGCTTAACAAGGTCATCAAATAATTCTTATGCAATGGGACACTGGTTAGACATTTGGAACCCTCTGATCCAAAGCAGATTAGAAAAGTGTCTCTGGCCAATTAGAAGAAAAACATAAAGTAATTCTTCAATAATGCAAATAATTTAGTACTAAAATTCTGTTTCTCTTTGGGACTTAGAAAAAACTATATTATTATTATTAATATGGCTTCTAAACAATTACTTTCTCTGTATTGGCTCTTAAGGTAAATAGTTGATGATGAAGGCTATGATATCCACCTGTGCTTTGAGATGAAAGTAAAGCAGGTCTCAAAGAAAATCTATCTTTATGGAGTTTCCTTTCAGGATGATAAAAATGTTTTTAGAATTAGGTAGTAGTAATGGTTGAACAACCTTGTGATCATACTACAAATCACTGAACTGTACACTTATTTAAAAGGATGGATTTTAGGTATGTGAATAAAAAAAAAATCTATCATCTACCAGTTCTCATAAACTGTGTTAACATCTACAGGATGTGTTGCGACAGTAGCATGATAAAATTTAAAGATAATTATACCTAAGTGCATTAAGGTGTGATATTCTACCTGAAAGATCATAACCTCTCAATTCTGAGAAGCTCTATTAACATCACCCAGCCTCCATCTCACCCTCCCCCACAAAAGCATGAGAAAAGTAAAGCATGAGATCACCTGGAATTAGTAGCTCTAGAGCAGTTCTCAACCAGAGGTGATTTTGCACCCTGTGAGACATTTTTGATTTTAACAAATAGGCATGTGCTATTGGCATCTAGTAGGTAGAGGCCAGGGATGCTACATTCATTCATTCATTCATGGGGGGTGTTACTTTTAAACGTTCAACAATGCACAGAGCACGGCCACAAACAATCATCTAACCCCAATGTCAATAATGCTAAAATTGAAAATCCCTGCTCTAGAGTTGTGATTCTGAAGGTATGGTCCCCAGGCCACTAACAAGAGCATTACCTGGAAACTTGTTAGAAATCAGAATCTCAGGCCCCAGCCCAGACCTACTATATTATAAACTCTGGACATGGGGCCTAGCATTTGTGTTTTAATGAGCCCTCCAACAATGTTAATCAATACACTAAAGCATAAGAACCACTGGAAGGACCCTCCTGCACTGTTGGAGGGAATGTGAACTGGTGCAGCCACTCTGGAAAACTGTGTGGAGGTTCCTCAAAGAGTTAAAAATAGATCTGCCCTAGGACCCAGCAATTGCACTGCTGCGGATTTACCCCAAAGATGCAGATGCAGTTAAACGCCGGGACACCTGCACCCCGATGTTTATAGAAGCAATATCCACAATAGCCAAACTGTGGCAGGAGCCTCTGTGTCCATCGAAAGATGAATGGATAAAGATGTGGTTTATGTATACAATGGAATATTACTCAGCCTTTAGAAATGACAAATACCCACCATTTGCTTCGACGTGGATGGAACTGGAGGGTATTATGCTGAGTGAAGTAAGTCAATCAGAGAAGGACAAACATTATATGGTCTCATTCATTTGGGGAATATAAAAAATAGTGAAAGGCAATAGAGGGGAAAAGAGAAAAAATGAGTGGGAAATATCAGAAAGGGAGACAGAACATGAGAGACTTCTAACTCTTGGAAAGGAACTAGGGGTGGTGGAAGGGGAGGTGGGCGGGGGGGGTGGGGGTGACTGGGTGACGGAGGCACTTGATGGGATGAGCACTGGGTGTTATTCTATATGTTGGCAAATTGAACACCAATAAAAAATAAATTTATTAAAAAAAAAAAACACTGGAAGGAATGCAATTGAAACAGAGATAGGGACACCTGGATGGCTCAGCGACCAGGGATCAACTCCCACATATGGGGTCCCTGCAGGGGGCCTTCCTCCTCTGCCTGTTTCTGCCTTTTCTCTGTCTCTTGTGAATATTAAAAAAAAGAGAGAGAGAGATAAAGTTATGCTATCCAAAGTCATTTAGTATGAAACAAAAATACGATTTGAACCCTGATAGCCCATGTCAGAACCTATGCTCTTATCATTTTATATCGATCCTCAATTTTTAAGAAAGAAAAATTACACTTTTGGGCAGCCCGGGTGGCTCAGCGATTTAGCGCCACCGTCAGCCCAGGGTGATCCTGGAGTCCTGGGATCGAGTCCCGCGTCGGGCTCCCTGAATGGAGCCTGCTTCTCCTTCTGCCTGTGTCTCTGCCCTTCTCTGTATCTATCATGAATAAATAAATAAAATCTTTTAAAAAAAGAAAAAATTACGCTTTTTTTGTACTTTAACTTCTATACATTGATTTATTCCTCCATCACAGAAAAAAAAATTGTTGATAGAATGGAATTAGGTAGATCAGACAGAATGGAATGTGGGAGATACCATCACAAATAATCATACCTTCCCCAAGTCTATAAACTAGAATGCATTTTATTGGCTAACTAATATGAAAACTACATGGATACGATAATGTTGCTGGGCTTCTCAGAAGAAATGTACTGAGCCTATGTGATGATTCTTTCCCCACTTAGCTTCTTGCCATTAACTGGTAGCATTCCAGATTCTTTCTGGTTTTTCAGTCTCTAAAACTTAGGAAAGAGCAATCTTTTCATGTAAAGTTCAAGAAATTAAGCCTGAAAGTATAATATGCAAGGTAGATTTTCTTTAACAGGTAAGAATATAATTTGACTCAGAGGGTGGGGAGAGGAGGTAGAGTGTAAATTTTCAAGCACATCCTGCTGAACTTGCTTGCTGCATAAACTCTGATTTGGAATTTAAACTTAAGGTGTTTTCCACTGGTAGGAAGATACTTTTTTTTCCCTAAGCATTCCTCTTTCAACAAAAATTTGGAACATTTGATTCTTGGGCTAGTATACAATAGAAATATGCAGCATTCAAGGCAATTAGAAGTCCACAGAAATTAATCCTGGATAGGTACTAATAATCATGCCTTTAAAGTGCCTGATGCTTTTTTTAAAAGATATTTATTTATTTATTCATGAGAGACACAGAGAGAGAGGCAGAGACATAGGCAGAGGGAGAAGCAGGCTCCATGTAGGGAGCCCAATGTGGGACTAGATCCCTAGACTCCGAGATCATGCCCAGAGTCAAGGGCAGGCACTCAACCACTGAGCCACCCAGGAGTCCTGAGGCTTTCTTATTTTAACTATTTCCAGTGGAAGAATTCCTCCTATCTAGTACTAAATGCTATGTAGTGAAAACAAACTTTTGATATTCAAGATCTAATTATGATCTTCAATAATGAGCATGGAGGCTCTTGAATTCTGTAAGGCTGTCAGCTCCAAGAATGAGCTTTCAGTTCTTAGATCTTCTAGGTCACACTGGCAACTATCTGTTATCTTGCTGAGTGTAGCAGTCACTTCCTAACCTTCGGTGTGCACAGAATTCATATGGCCAAGGTGGCTAAAAGTTTATGTAGAGTAAATTAGTCCAAATGGGAGTCTTCCCAAGTAGGCTCCGTGCCATCACATGCTTTACTCACTGAGCCAGCTAAGCACACCAACGGAGTCTTTCTTTGGAGCGTACTGCATACGTTTTTTCCCCCTTACACTTGGTTTTGGAATTGTTTTCAACACAGGCTGGCCTCCAGATACGAGGGGGAACTACTAGACCAAACGTACACTTTTAGCTACCTCAAACATTTTCTGCGTAAACACTTACTCTGCTTTTTATAATGACAACTTAAAGAGAATCCAACATTTAAACTCAACTTTATTTTGAAACATTTCAATGCACAAGGTTTTAAAATGTTTCCAAATCTCAGAACTGTACATCTCTGTGTAGAATCTGCCCTCCAGTTGTTCTTGAAAATTTTCTCCAAAAATTTTACTTGATGAGCCTTCCAGTGACATTTCAAAAATCCTTTTCTACTATGCCATATTCCCTGACCTCTCTGATAACCTGGATTTTGTTTTCTTGATATTTACCAGATTCTACATAGATGCTCTCATACTGTGTGCTTCTGTTAGCATCCCTCCAAACTTTCTCACCCAAATAAGTGCAATGAATCACCATCTTTTTGCAGATGCCCTTCAAATAAGCCTGTTTTCAAGACTTGTCTTTCTAGACTTTAAACAATGAAGCCCTACTTCAGGTTCAGTTAGCTAACTTCCTCATCTTTGCCGTGTTGCCTTTTTCTAGCATTGAGGGAAGAACTTGCTTGTACAGACTCAAAAAGGCACATCTTAAGATCCTTAATCTTCTGTTTACAACCTCTGCCAAATCTATTCCCTCCACAGTATCAAAAAATGTGGTCGTTCATTCTTTTCCTTTATCTCTTCCCTGCCTTGGCCACATTATGCGGCTTATCAGTTTTCCCTAAAATAGAGCAGGTAGGTAAACCCATCTTCTCGTCTGAAGATGGAACCCATTACATTTGCATGCTGTATGGTAAGTGTATATTATTGCAAAAAACCAAAAACAAAACACCCTGAACTCCCAAGAATAGCCTAACATCAAAGTTACAGCGTATATCAAAGCGCACGATTTGATTCCTGGCACATTATGAAAGTCTCAGAGTATTTACACCACCTTTGTTGCAACCTACCTAAGGCAAAGCTTTTCTAACCTTTTCACCTAAGTGCCCCCACACAGGAAGGCGAAATGTATATACTTCAGGGATCTGAACTCAAGGAACCGCCGAACAGCATCTTTGACATCTGTATCTTATCTTTAACATGAACCCCAAACGCTGTAGTCACCTCAATAGACGTAGTCGTCTCTTATCCTAGAAATTACATTTAACGTTTTTAGCAATGAGGAAAACTCCTGGAAAAAGCACTAGGTTTATCCCGTGACTCTGCAGACCTCTCCACCCCCCCCCCCGCCCCGAAAACTGACACCAAGTTCTGTGAAACACGAAGCCTGGGTTTCATCACCGGCTCTCAAAGAGGCTGCGAAAGGCACAATTACTAGCAGCAGAACTGAACATACATTCAAAACGTGACGATTTTAATGTGTCTAGCAATTTAGGGTCGTGGGTCCAGAGCGTCGCCCCAAAATGTCGAGTTCCATCACTGATGCGCACGTATCTTCCAGGCTTGTTTACCTATTACCCTAATAAGTACCTCGGCAGCGCATCTCGCACCTTGAATACCGTGTGTGGGCGCCGCGCCCTTCCGTGGTCCTCCCGCGGCGGGCCCGGCTCGCCCTCCGAGCTCCGCGGCGCTACAACAAAGCTCCCGAGGGCCTCTCCCGGCCGCGGAGCCCGCGGGCGCCTCGGGGTCCCGGCCGCGCGAGCCGCCGCCGCCGCCGCCAACAACCCGGACCCGGTGCCGCCTGCGCCGGGGTGGCTCCATTCGGAGGGCAGCCCACAACCGAGCCCGGCAAGTTTCCCTCGGACCCGGGCCCTGCCAGCCGCCCGCCGCCCCGCCGCCCCCCGCCCCGCCCGGCCGCCCGCGTAGACGCGGCCCGCACCGGCGTCCCCCGGCCCCGCCCGCCCCAGGCCCCGGATGTGACGGCACCGCCGCCCTCGGCGCTCGCCCCCCGCGACGGGCGTGGGGGATCCCGGAAAGGAGGCCTGGGGGAGGGGGTCCCCGCCAGGCATCACATACCCAAGTGAGAAGGCTCTCGCACAGCTCCACCCGCTCCACCGACTCCACGTTGAACATCTTCCCCGGCTGGGGCTTGGCAGCGCCTCCCCACCTCGCCAGAAATCGCCGCCGCTCGGTGCGGGGCTGCGTCGGAGGGTCCGGGCAGCTGACCTGGCCTCCGGCCCACCTCGTCCGCAGGCCCGGGCCGCCGACTACCGCCCCGGCGCCGCCAGCGGCTCTAGCACCGTCACCCCCGCCGCCCCTCCTTCTCCGCTCACTCGGGACCGCGCGCCCGCCGCGCGCGCCCCCGGCCACGCCCGCAGCCCCGCGTCCCCGCCCCCGGAGAGCGCCGGCCCCGGCCAGAGTCGCGGCCGCCCAGCCACTGCGCACAATCGGCCCGGCCGGCCCGCCTCCCCGCCCCGCGCGCGCCCCGACGCCGGCCCCCTGCGTGTCCCCGCGCGCACGCGCCGGGCCCTGGCGGCGGCTGAGGCGGCGGCGGGTCCCCCTCCGCCGTCCGCCCGCAGCCTCACGGAAGCGCGGCAGTGCGCGTGCGCCTGTGTCCGCTCTCCAAATTAAAAAAGGGACGGCTAGTGGTTGCCCGGGAGGGGTGGCGGGGGCCGTGCCCGGAAATAACCTCCGTTCTCTGTCACCGGGAACTGGCGAGGTAGCCTCTGCGCCGGAGAGGTACGCGCCCCCTCCCCCTCCCCCTCCCCCTCCGCGGCCGCCGGGTCGCGCCCGGCCACGCCCACCCGGATCCGGGCCCGCGGGAGCTGCCGGCCGGGCTCTGGCGTGGGCGGGCTGCCCCCGGGGGCGCCTCGGGGCTTCGGGGCGGGGGGCGCCGCCGTCCTCCGGGAACCCCGGCGCTGAGCCCGGAGTCCCGGGGGCAGGGGCGGGGCGGGGCGGGCGCGGTTGGCAGACGGCTCGCGGTGCTCGGTGCTTGCCTGGGGAGGACGCCGGCCGATCCTCCCGGGGTCGCGGGGAGCCTCGACTCCCCGGAAACTTGGGCTGCTTGAGCAGGGCGGGGTGTGCGCCAGGTGTTGGTGCGCCAGGACCTCGGCGGCCCTCGGGCCTGTGTCCTGGTGCAGACCAGGCGTTGGCCTTCTCGGGGTTTGCAGGGTGGCCCGCCAGCGCCCACCTTTCCAGAGGCGTGGGTTTGCGCGAGGTCCCCGTGTATTTGTAGGCGATAAGACATGCAGAAAAGTACATGCAACGTACATGCTTAGGGAAGATAGTAACTAACACCCAGGTAAAAACAGAGGGACACTGTCCGTAGCTCAGGAGTCATACCCACACCTACTTTGCGTCCTGAGAACGATTCCCTCCCTAGGCTGACTTCGAGGATGCTCATTTTCCTGCTTGTGTATGCGTGCCTAAACAATATAGTACTTTTTTTGTGCTTTTATGAGTGGGATCAGTGTATTGTGTGGCTTTAAATTAATGGTAAATTTGTGTACATCTGTAGGTAATTTTCATTGCTGTCTAGTATTTCACTGTGTAATAGGGTATCCATTCTGTTCATGGGCTTTTGTTGTTCCGCTGAGGCTACTAAAAACACCTGGATACTAGTGCAAAGGTGTAGGGGGCTTCCTTAGGATATATGCCTTGGAGTCCTAGGAGAATCGTTGAGTTACAGGGAATGCATGAACTTTACCGGATAATGCCAAACTTATTTGGAGGGCAGCAAACAACTTCTAGAGCACATCTTTACTTTGGTTTGCGAGTTCCTGGAGCCCCTCTTTTCCCATCAGGAGGAGGTTTTTGTCATTGAGCATTCAGAACTGAAGTGAGTTGTTTGGTTTTTTTAAGATTTTACTTATTTATTCACGAGGGACACAAAGAGAGGCAGGCTCCATGCTGGGAGCCGGATGTGGGACTCAAAAGTGATCTCCAGGATCACTTCCTGAGCCAAAGTCAGACGCTCAACTGCCACCCAGGTGTCCCTGGAGTGAGTTTTTAATGATGCTTTACAAAGTACCAATTAACATTTCACGTGTGATGAATTTATCATTCTGTAAATGTAAAAAACTGACCTGAAGTCTTCTCAGTGGTCTTAAAAAAAAAAAAAAAAAATCTTCCCTACACCAAGGGAAGAGAAATCTTTAGAAATAAGTGTGTCTCACCTGCTCTTGTTTCCTCTGTTGGTGCGTCTGGGTCTCGGTCAAACCAGAGTTCCTACATTCCACATTAGGTTGTTTCCACAGAATCCCTAGCATGTTAATGACCATTACCCTTGTTAGGCACGTAAAGTCAGTAAGTATATGTTACATTGGCTTAAACCTGACTCACCTGCAACATGTCTTTGGAAGTCAAGAACCAGATGCTAGCCTGTTCTGGAGGGACTGTGGTGTTGTGAACACCTTCACTCCAGCTGTTCAGGTTTTCAAGGCTTTGACACACATGACCTAAGCTTCCATTTTCAGTCTTGACTGCTCACCCGCAGTACATGTATATATGATACTGCAGTGTACTTGAGATTTCATTTGTGGCTCCAGTTGCTCTCAATGAAGGAAATTATATTAAAAACTTCTTGAATGTGAGTAATTGCAGAAATCATGTGATGGTCGTGTTTCTACATGAACTTGGGTTAAAAAACACTGAGTTTCTCCTTTGGAAGTTACGGAATTTCCTACCTTTCACTTATTCTTAATTTTTTTTTTCCTGAAAGTTTTGGAAAAGACTAAGGAGAGAGGTGAGTGCAGCTTGTCTTAGCTGTCTTCTTACTCTAGTTAGTTGGGGACTAGTTCTCATCAATAGCTGATTATCAGACTTATTTATTTTTATAGCTGTTTACCAGATTTAAATAAACATAATAGTGTCCTGTGTGGCAGTGTTCCCAAGTTTATGCTGTCTTCCCAAGGAATGCATACTTAGAGCTTTGGTTAAACAGAATTTGAGATGCAACATAGTGCAGCTATGGAGAAGGCATGGTTAAGTTTTATAATGTTTCTTTTTTTTTTATAAAGTTTTTTTTAATTTTTTTTTTATTTATGATAGTCACACACACACACACACAGAGAGAGAGAGAGAGAGAGAGAGAGAGAGAGGCAGAGACACAGGCAGAGGGAGAAGCAGGCTCCATGCACCGGGAGCCCGATGTGGGATTCGATCCCGGGTCTCCAGGATCGCGCCCTGGGCCAAAGGCAGGCGCTAAACCGCTGCGCCACCCAGGGATCCCTTATAATGTTTCTTGACAGTTGTTAATAATAGTAATCAAGGGTGATTGGCTCAGTTGGTTTAAAAAATAAAATCTATTAAAAAATAGTAATCAAAATATTATAGTTTCCATTTACTGAGCACCTATATGATGTGCCAAGCAATATACTAAATTCTTTACCTTCATTATCTTGTTATAAACCCCATAAAACAGCTTTTTTCAAATTTATTTTTATTTTATTTTATTTTTTTTTTTCTGGTCAAAAAAGTGAGCATTTGAGGGATACCTGGCTGGTGCAGTAGGCAACCAGGCACCTGGCTATAACTCTTGATTTCAGTATTGTGAGTTCAAGCCCATGTTGGGCATAGAGATTACTTAAAAGTGGGCATTTGATATAGTTAAAATTAATTTTATATATTTTAGCATATGAGGAAGCTGAGATGCAAACTTTACATAAGTACACAGTTGTCTGACTCCAAAGCCTATGCTTCTCTGATCTATTAAGCTACTCTTCAATTAAACTTAGCTAGTTAATCCATAGCAAAACCGAAGCTAGAAACCAGTTCCTCTTTAGGCTTCTGTCAATTATACCAGTTTCCAAGATCTATGGTGTTTTGTTTCTGTGAATCTCAAATAGTAAAAATGAAGTACTGGTAACTCTTATTTTCATATTTGAAATGGGGGAAGGAACTTAAGAAATCCTCAAGCCCAGTTTTTACATTCTGCAGAAAATGAAAGATCCTTAGAGATTAATAAAGTGAGGATACAGTTGTAGTTGAACTGGATCTAAAATCTGGGCTGTTAGTTTCCAAGCAGCAGTGCTTAGGCTTCAGTTCAGAGCCTGTGCCAGTGAGCAAAACCAGCAGCACAGTTCTGGTCTAGACAAAACCTGACTATATAAAGCAAAAGTTGGAGAACTGAAGTTAAGATCAAAAAGACTTTTTCAAGACTGAGCTATTTTGTCATGTCCTCAAGTAGAAACAATTTTTTAATTCATTCTCTATAATCTTAGATCATCTTATTAAACTGAGAATGATGATACAATACCTCATTTTTGAGCTATTAACTCCTACAGTTCCATTTTAAAACTCTGATTATAAGAAAAACTACTAGTGGAAGTTGATCTATTGGAAGCTCCTCACAAGGTCAGCTCTTAGTAGTTCTTCATGGGAGAGCTCAGGGTTTAGCTGGGATCTCCCTTGTCTCCAGAAACTTAGCAGCAACTTCCCCACCTCCCCTCTCTCAGCCCACTTTCTTTGGGGATACCAGCGTTTGTGAAAATAAAAAGTAACTGCAAAAAATAATAATAATAATAATAACTCTGCATTTCAATAAATTGGGAACTTCTGCTATAAAATGATGCAAAAAACATTATATGGCTCTGCAGTACTTAAAGTATCCTGGCTCTCTGAGCTCTTGGAAATGTGCTTGAAGCAATATCATAAGCAGTAGCTTATTTGCAAAGAAGTTAAATATACAGCAGAATGGAAAAAACGTATGATTTGTACAGTGGAATTTAGTCATATTACCATTGATTACGCTTGGCAGAGCACAGAAACAAATGTAACCCATTAAGAAAAAATACAAAGGAGGGGGAAGGGAATATCCCTCTACCCTATTATGTTCCTGGCTGAGACTCACTAGTAATAGAAGACGTTAGCAGGAAAAAACCAGAAGCTTAAAAAAATTTGTTTAAAGATTTTATTTTTAAGTAATCTCTACACCCAACATGGGGATCAAACTCCTAACCCTCAAGATCAAGAGTCACACGTTCCACTGACTGAGCCAGCCAGGTACCCTGAAGCTTAATAATTTGTTTATTTCCCATGTACTTGCAAGGTACTCCGGAAAACTGAGTAACCCCCAAAGGGCCCAAGCCATCACATTAAATACCACTTTCAGCTAAAGACAAACGAAAGACATTGGGGGTGGAAGAACAGGGTTATGGGAGGTTACCAGGAAAAGCACAGTAAACAAGGGTAAAGTTGTTCTAAGTCTGTGCCTCCTCCATTCATAACAGTTTCTAGGGATTTAGTGCTGGTATATATAGAGATCCCCTTACAAATGGGGATTTCCCTTGTAAATGTCTTTTACAAAAGCATAACTTCTCCTTGGTTTTCAGAACTTTTCCTTTCTTTGCTGTCTTTTTTTAAAAATAACATAACTCACAAGACAAAATCATATTTTGGGGTGACAAATTCTGCTCTCCTTTATTGTTTTTTTTTTTTTTTTCCTGCTCTCCTTTAGTAGTAAATTTATACCCTAGGGAAAAACCTTAAAACTCTGTGAAGTAATTAGATCAGTAGTTAAAAGACTGGAAATCTTGACACAAGGGGATAACATTTGGTTACCTTTGTGAAGCTGCAAGTAATTCTCCCTGCCCCTAGGATTCTTGACACAGATGTACAAAGCATCTCTAATTTTAAAAGAGAAATCTGCTGAGGCGTCTGGCTGGCTTAGTAATTGGAGCCTAAAACTCTTGGTCTCAGGATTGTGGGTTCGAGCCCCATGTTGGGCTTAGAGATTACTTAAAAAATAAAATCTTGGGATCCCTGGGTGGCGCAGGGATCCCTGGGTGGCGCAGCGGTTTGGCGCCTGCCTTTGGCCCAGGGCGCGATCCTGGAGACCCGGGATCGAATCCCACGTCGGGCTCCCGGTGCATGGAGCCTGCTTCTCCCTCTGCCTGTGTCTCTGCCTCTCTCTCTCTCTCTCACTGTGTGCCTATCATAAATAAATAAAATAAAAAATTTAAAAAAAAAATAAAAAATAAAATCTTAAAAAATAAAATAAAAAGAGGAAACCTGGTAAAATAAATACCTAAATTTATTACATGGCTCACCCCTAGATTACTTGGGGCTGTTCAGTTTCAGTTGGCAGTTCATTTGACTATTCTTTTGAATGAAAATAACGAAGTTAGAGCTGCTCTCTGAGTTTCCTGGTGTGTGGCCTTCATCATGGTTATTTGAAACCTATCATTAGAAAGTTCCTGATATATTAGGCAATTACTATGTGTAAAGCTGATGGAAACTGCCTTTGATCTGTTTGCTTTGGTTTCTTCCATAAGGTAATTTCCTTATTAGCAAACAATTTGGATTCTTTTCATAGGTGTTAGACTTTCACAAAGTTTCCTCTTAACAGAGACTTGCTAGGTTAATGAGTAAAACTTTCTAGTGCCATAAGTTATATATTTATTTATATATATGTATATATACACAGAATTTTATTTTAATTATGAATAGTCATATATGTTTATTTCCTTTATTTTCCTTTAGGTGTCTTATGAGACTAAATTTTTCTGTTTTGCAATGTGAAAAATATAAATTATCTGTGATTCTTGGACTCTGATATAGTTTGGGTTATTTCCCTTCATACCTATAGAAATTGGGTATTACCATTTTTCTCAAGCTTAGTGTATGGGAAGGAGAGTTTCATATCCTCCCCTTTCTCTTCATAAGGAAATGCAGCCTCAGAGTGATTCCATATTCCAGGCAGTTCAAAGAATTCTGAACCATATGCTGAGCTTAGTCCCAGGTGAGGCTAATAGTTTTTCAAGTAGAATTTTCACTAATTCAACTAATCATAGTATAGACATAAATGTCTTATAGCCTGATATATTTTACTTTTCAAATTACTAACATTTTAAGTAAGGTTAGTCACTTGTGTTTAAATATACATTTATTAGGCCCTACTGTGTGCAGGGCACTATGCTAGATAACACAGGAACGTTTACAGAAGAAGAGAATATATTACCTTCCCAATCCGAAATTGGTACATTCTAGGACACAGGCAGTGCTGTGAGGGTGAAGAGAGATCTGATTTACCTGAAGAACTGATTTGCTATTTAAGAATGAGAAGAGCGGCTGGTTGTGAGGAATATCTTTTTTTCCTTAAGATTAAAGGAACAGAGCTTGAAGAATAAAGGGTATTTTTTAAAAATTTGTTTTTAAAAAATGTAAGTAGATGATAAATTAATTGATTGAAGGAGATAGAATTTTATACTCCTGGGACACCTGGGTGACTCATCGGTTGAGCCTCTACCTTTGGCTCGCTCTTGGTGGGGGGGATGAGTCCCTTATTGGCTCCCTGCAAGGAGCCTGCTTCTCCCTCTTCCTAAGTCTCTGCCTCTCTGTGTCTCTTATGAATAAATAAATAAAATCTTAAAGAATTTTGTACTCCTCCAAATAATGTGTCTGGCAAATTTTAAAGAACTCAACGGGAGAATTCCCACGGGAGTTGTACTTAATGCAATTTCCTTAAATGGGTGCTTTAAAAAATTAAATACATTAGAAGTGAGTTACATTTTTGTTGTTTTGATTAGTATATTCATTTTCACTGTGCCATTTGTAACTTTTGTCTGTTTCCTTATCTTTTAGACTTGGAATGGCCAAATATCAAGGTGAAGTTCAAAGTTTGAAATTGGATGATGATTCAGTCATAGAAGGAGTAAGTGACCAAGTACTTGTGGCAGTTGTGGTCAGTTTCGCTTTGATTGCTACCCTGGTATATGCACTTTTCAGGTGAGACTAAAGGCCAAAATATTGAAATAATGTGTATTTGCAAAGGCCACTGCTTTCTGACTGCTTCTAATAATTTTCAGTACTTCATTTAGAAAAGTGAGTAATAGACCTCAGTGATTGTGATGTGGAAATGTTGGCGTTTGGAGCTAATGGCCAAGAAAGAATTCTTGAGATGTCATCAGTGGAAAAAAAAGATGTTTTTGTTTTTGTTAAGATTTTATTACTTATTTGATAGAGCAAGTGAGCACAAGCAGGGTGAGGGGGAAAGGGAGAGACAAGGGAGCCCTATGTGGGGCTTAATCCTAGGACCCTGGGATCATGACCTGAGCGGAAGGCAGACACTTAACCCACTGAGCCACCCAGATGCCCTCAAAAAGGTGGTTTTATTAAGGCATGGGGACAGGATCGTGGGCAGAAAGAGCTGCTCGAGGGTTGTGACAGATGACAGATTATATACTTTCAAGTTGGGGAGGGGTTAGGGATAGCATAAGTTTCTAAGGAAAATTTTTTTTTTAAAGAGCAGTTTAATCTTCCTCTCATTTTTTTTTTTTTTAAGATTATTCATGAGAGACACAGAGAGAGAAAGGGAGAGAGAGAGGCGCAGAGACACAGGCAGAGAGAGAAGCAGGCTCCAGGCAGGGAGCTCTACGTGGAACCCGATCCAGGGTCTCGGGGATCATGCCCTGGGCTGAAGGCAGCGCTAAACCGCTGAGCCACCCGGGCTGCCCTAGCATGAGTCTTGACTATAGAGAACAAACTGATGGTTACCAAAAGAGAGGTTGTTTAGGGGATGGATGAAATAGGTGATGGGGATTAAAGAGTAAGTACACTTACTATGATGAAAAAATAATACAAATAAAAAGTAATTATTGATAGGTCTGTAGGTACTGCCATTTTATCAGTGGTTCTCTAGTTGTTTTTGTTGTTTTTTCTTTCTTTTGCTTCCCTCTTGATTTGATGATTTTTTGTGTGTGTGTGTTTGCTTGAATTCCTTTCTCTTTATGTTTTGTGTACCTATTATAGGCTTTTGGTTTGTGTTTACCATGAGATTCATATATAACATCCTATGTGTATATAGCAGTCCATATTAAGTTAGAGGTTGCTTAAGTTCAAATACATCCTAAAAGCAGTATATCTTTGCTCCTTCTCGTACATGTTTCATATACATGATGTCATATTTTACATTTTTCTATTTTGGGTATTTTTTGTTTTTTAAAAGTAAGCTCCACACCTAATGTGGGGCTTGAACTCATGATGCTGAGATTGAGATTCACTGGATAATTTTGGTCTCTTTTTTCAAAGAATGACAAAAGACCATAAATCATTGGTAGATGATGTACTTTGTTTTTATATTAGAGCCAGTCTTTCCCTTGCCATCTTTATTTAGACCTATTTAATGTCATTTTCTCACAGCTAAGATGATCACTTTTTTAAGATTTATTTATTTATTTTAGAGAGAGGGAGCAGGAGTGGGGGTAGGGGGAGAGAAGATTTCAAGCAGACTCCCCACTGAACGCAGAGCCTGATACGGAGTTTAATCCCATAACTACGAGATCATGATCTGAGCCGAAACCAAGAGTCATCACTTAACCAACTGAGCCACTCAGGCGCCCCAAGATAATCACATTTTAAAGATTGTCTAATCTAGTTCTTTAAATCTGTCTTAATTACCCTAATATTTTCTAGATTTTTGGTTCTGTACATGTTCAGCATCCCAGGCTGTTTGTTCTTGTTCTCTGGCTATACTTTTTTTTTTTTTTTTTAAGATTTTATTTATTCACGAGAGACACAGAGAGAGGCAGGCTCCATGCAGGGAGCCCACTGTGGGACTCGATCCCGGGACTCTGGGATCACACCCTGAGCCGAAGGCAGACACTTTACTGCTGAGCCACCCAGGCATCCGTCTGGCTGTACATTGACTTTTCTAGCATTCTACAACCAAATTTTACACTCTTTTATCTTCTTTTTTATGGAAAGAAACAAAAAGAAAAAAAAAAGACCTTCCAGTTACATGGTTTATATCTATACTCTGAAAAGTAGTAACTATCTTTTTCCAAAGAGAAAGGAATGGTTTTCCAGTGTCCTAGAGAAATGTTGTTTTAGTTAGGTATATACTGGTATTTAAATGAGATGGTTCATGTGCTGTGCCTTGATAGATTGTTTTCACCAGAGAGTAGCTTTCTGTTAGAGATTGTTTATTTAGTCACAAAAAGGTAATATTTAAAATAATCTACCAAACTTTAAGGTATTTAAACAGAGTTCAATAGTTTTATTATGTTTATGTTTAGTTTCTGATTAGTTGACTTTTTTTTTAATTTTTTTTAAAATTTTTATTTATTTATGGGGATCCCTGGGTGGCGCAGCGGTTTAGCCCAGGGCATGATCCCCGAGACCCTGGATCTATAGTCACACATAGAGAGAGAGAGAGGCAGAGACATAGACAGAGGGAGAAGCAGGCTCCATGCACCGGGAGCCCAACGTGGGACTCGATCCAGGGTCTCCAGGATCGCGCCCTGGGCCAAAGGCAGGCGCTAAACCGCTGCGCCACCCAGCGATCCCAGTTTTTTTTTAATGTTCTCTCAAAACTAATGGTCATGTTTTGCAGCTTTTTTACTAAAATCTGAATTTTTTTTTTTACTAAAAATTGAATAATTATAAGATGTATTTTTAACATTTTTCCCTGTCCTGTTAGGATATTGATTTAGAGGGAGTTTTTTCTTTCTTTCTTTCTTTTTTTTTTTTTTTTTGAAGGATTTATCCATTCATTTGAGGTGGGTGGAGAAGGGCAGAGGGAGTAAGAATCCCAAGCTGACTCCCCACTGAGCAAAGCCTGACTTGGGGCTTGATAACAAGACCCTGAGACCATGACTGGAGCTGAAATCAAGAGTTAAACGCCCAACTGACTGAGCCACCCAGGTGCTGCTGATTTAGAGGTTTTATCACTGTTGAGTATTAGCTCATCCAGAGAATAAAGGCTCTTACATAGAGTAATGCTGAGATTTTATGGATCTAAAATATTGCTGTTAAAAATGTCTAAGTTTAGAAGAAACTGTTACTGCCAAATGGAATTAAGCTGTGAATCAGATGGAAATCTTCATCCTCACCCTGTCAACCTAACCACCACTTGTAATTTCCAATACCCTCATCTCTTATCCCTTCCTTTTATATCAGCCACTAAATTCTTGCCCTTGAGTCTCCCTTTTAATTGTTAATGTTAAGATATTAGTGGTATGTTAGGTTTGGGCTTTTCTATATGATTTAGTTTATTTTCTGTTTTTTTACCTCATAGGTGGAAAGATCTAATTAGATATGGAAAAGTGTTTAAGTATATAATTACATAGTTGCTTATTTTGAAGGAACTTCACAGAATAAATAAATGTATTAATTGTTCTTCATATGATTTGTAAGCCTGTGGTTACATCAAATCAACAAGGTACTAGGCCTCTGAATTTCATCATTTGCCAGTTGAACCTGAAATCAGCCTATACCCATGATCTTTAAACATTATCTAAAAAACTAAAATCTAAAAAAAAATGAGTGATTCATCTGATGGTGTTTTATATTCAAAATTCATTATATTTTATTCAACAGAAATGCACATCAGAACATTCACCCAGAAAACCAAGAGCTAGTAAGGGTACTTCGGGAGCAACTGCAAACAGAGCAGGTACTGTTGTTATGTAACTGTGTATATTTGTATGAGGAGTAATGTCACCATTCCTCTTGCATATGCAATTGTGATGAAATAATAAATTACTTTTTGGAAACATGGAGTGCTTTCCTGCTTTGTTAATTTAAATTATTCTATTGATTGGATGTTTTCTTCAGATTAGGCAAATGACTAGTTTTAACTACTCAGATGTTTCCATGTGCATGCTTTTTCTTTTTCTTTTTTTTTTTTAAGAACAGCAGTTTTCCTGTTATTTATTTGTGAGGATATAATCACTCTCTAATTGGCTTTACTGTAATGTGGTGGAAAAACTTTTTTTCCCCCGAAATCCTACCTATTCCCAAAGACCTACAAAAAAATGACTACAATGGTGGCTGCTCCCCCCCCCCCCCACTCTTCTTTTTCTTCATTGGTCAAGGTTAGCAAAACTAGCTAAGCAAAGAAGACTTTTCTTTCTCTTCTATGGTTATAAACCAGATGGACTCTGGTTATTTTTAAGAACCGGAAATGTAATATAGTTCATGAAGGCTGGAATATATAGAATATTGTATACCTTCATGCCAAGAAAGCTAATATTAAAAAATTAAAATTAAAAATGGATTTCCCACCCACCAAATTTTAATTCCTCACAAATAAATAACTCTCTTCAAAAAAGAGTCTTTTTACAATTTATCCACTCACCATATATTTATTAAACATTTACTATATGCCAGACACTGTTCTAGGCATTGAGGATTCAGTTGTGAGCTAAACAAACAAGAATTCCTGCCTTCATAAAACTTAAATTCACTGATGTAAAAATAATTTAATCATGTTAGCAGTATACTCTGTTCCAGAGCTATTGTTATTAATAATTCATGGTGGGATAGTGTTTTATAATTTACAGAGGGCTTTCACATACAACTGTTTTATTCGGTCTGCAAACATGATCAGTAAGGCAACAATTCTCATTCCCATCTAACGTATTAGAACACTAAGATTTACTTAAATTCACACTGGAATAACATGAATGGATCTGGCTATACAGAAGTCCCACACTGAGTTGCATCTTCCAGATTCCTTTGCACCACTGTCCAATTCACCTCCCTCATACCTTCCTCAGGCATAATATTTAGCTGTAGTTAGAATAAAGCTAGTGACTTAGCCCTTTCTGTGCTGTCCTGTATGGTAGCCACTACCCAAATGTAGCTATTTAATTTTAAGTTAACTAAAATTAAGTACAATTTAAAATTCAGTACTTTTTAGTTACACTGCTCACCTTTTAAGTACTCAATACCCACAGATAAAGATTTCCATTACTGCATAAAGTTCTGTTGGACAGCACTGGTAATTGTTTTTTATTGTTTCTGTTTTGATTTAGTTTACTTCCAAAAAAACAATGATGAAGACAAAAGGTAGAGAGGGGGACATTAAATGCTTTATGTTTTTCTTTGCACCATTAAAAATGATATAAAAGACTAACATCAATGTGGGTGATCATGGGTTATAGAATATTCTAGTGTTTTGGAACTGATTTAAGAAAGAGGAGTTTTTGTTATGTTTATTAGTTTTAGGTGACAAAAATCTTTGATTCAGTTTACAATTAACAGTTCATATTTAGCCAATTTTATAATTTTTTTGATAATTTGATGTTTTTAATGCTGGCTACTTTACAAGAGGTGTGCTGGGTACTATAAAGATAGGTTTAAAAAATTAAAAAAAAATAAAATTTCTACCAGCTGAAAAAAAAATATAAAGATAGGTTTTTATAGTATTTTAAAAGATACACATTATATACTAGTGTTAGAAACTTTTCTAGTTCCTAGGTCACTACCATGAGTCCTATAGATAAAGTTCTTATCCTCATATCATTTACATTCCAGTGGGCTCTTTGATATCTGGATGCTTCTTGTAGAGGTGATTATATTCCACATTTCCTATTACAATCACAAGTGATGTAACTGAGGAACGTTAAATTTTACTAATCTGAATTTGTGAAAGATTAAGCCCAGGTTACCAGTGTATTAAATTTTCCTTCTTCCAAAATGACCAGTATTCTTCTTTGAAAGTTTAAATCTGGTCCCCCCCCAAAAAAATAAAAATAAATAAATCTGGTCCCTTGTGAGGTACAGCATACCTGCAACACTCGTATGGAACGTGGGAATGAAAAAGATGTTAAAAATGATTAAAAACTAATACTTGGGAAACAGTTTGACATTTCTTTAGCTTTTGCTTTAGGCTTGTACTTCTCAGAATAACTAACTCATTCTAACAGCATAAAAGAGAAACACTGGAGTTAATGTTGGTTTTTGTCCTTGGTGTGTTCAGGAAGGAAAGTAGAGACCCTGCAGCCTAAATAAAACAAGAACACAGCTCGTAACTTTATCAGACTTACAAAACTTTAAACTACTGCACATCTAAAATGTGATAAGGACTATGCACTATCAACTGTATTCTTAAGTATAATTTTATTCCTCGAGATAACTCTGAAGACCCATGTGCATTGTATAATCTCAAATGCATGTTCTCTCATCAGGATGCCCCTGCTGCTGCTCGGCAGCAGTTCTACACTGACATGTACTGTCCAATCTGTTTACATCAAGCCTCCTTCCCTGTTGAAACAAACTGTGGACATCTTTTTTGTGGTAAGCAAACAATGCTATATTTGAGAGAAGTGACTATTTAGACCAAGACCCGTATGGGTACATGGGCTAGATTCCTAATTTTGTCACATTTTGTATTTTTTTTTTTAAAGACTTTATTCATGAGAGAGAGAGAGAGAGACAGAGACACAGGCAGAAGGAGAAGCAGGCTCCATGCAGGGAGCCCGATGTGGGACTCAATCCCGAGACTCCAGGATCACGCCCTGGGCCGAAGGCAGGTGCTAAACCACTGAGCCACCCAGGGATCCCTGTCAGTTTTGTATTACATGAATGGGATAGATGGCTTCTGATACCCTGGTCTACTTGTTAGCCACTTTGATTTAGTGTCTGTGAGCTCAAAGATGAAAAAACACTAGTTGTTCAACTTCTCAGTAAACAGTAATGTGTTTCTTTGATAATTTAAGTATATGAATACCATGAGGGATTGCCGAATCCTTCATTGTTTATTACTTTGTGGTAGTTTCATTTATTATTCATCCTTCCTAAGGCAGGAAGTATCTCTTAAGACCCTACCCAAGACCTTCCCTTTAGCTCTCTTACCTCCTTTTTACCCTGCACCAGCTCAAAATGATCCTTTAACTTTCTTTCTCCCATTTGTATCTGTTGTTTGAGGTTATATAGAATTACTAAGTATATAGCGCTGCTATTTATGCTTTGCAGGATGACATAAATACTTTGAAATCCATATCATGCAGTGCAGGGTCTTCTATACCTGTGTTCATTTAGTAATTACTGATCAGTCCCATTATTGCATCATCCATTAATTTCATCCTCTTCCCTAAGTTAGCTAACAAGTTATAAAACACTTAATTCAGTATCTATTTTTGTCTTTTGGGAATGCTAATGAGCAGCAAAATTATGAAAGATCAGATAGAGAAATTATTTGGCCACCAGAGAAAGCAGATATTCTCCCCTCCCCAAAACCTCTGGTAGATATTCCTAATCAATTGGACATTCTTTCTGAGTCTGGAGATGACCTCAATCATCCTCTGATACAGAACTTCAGGCAGGTGTTAAGAATCAATGAGATTTGCCAAGCTAGATGAACTCCATTTGCCAACCCAGGCTTAGGTAATTCATAGAGTGGATAACCCAGTCAATTGAAAGATGGCTGTATTATATTCTTGGTTTCTGGGTCTGAGGTAATTGGGTAGATTGCTTCTGATAGCCTGCCTGCTGTGCTTGTTAGATACTTTTATTTACTGTCTCTTGGTTCAGAGATTTAAAATCTAGTCATTCAACTTCTCAGTAAACAGAAATGTGTTTCTTTGAATAGTAATTCACGTGTTGGTACTATATCAACAGCATCTTAGCTTGGTTCCTGTATATGGAACTACAGTTCTGTTACTTTACAGTGAGCTAAGAATAATGGCAGCAACAGACTTCATCTTAAATTGGATTTGTGACCCATATTGTTTTTACTTAATTCTTTAGCAACCTTATAAAGTGTTATTCCCATTTTGCAAAAAAACTTAGATTATGACCCAGATTAAAGTCATTGGGTCATCTCTCCCACCCACCATCTTATTTAAGGGGCTCTCTTTTTATAGAAGAGGAAAGTTGAAGAAAAGGGAAAACCTTGATAATATAGCAGATGTGTGAACTGGATGGAGTTTTTGATTTGCTGAACTGTGGTTTTTCTGTGCAGTAACCATTACATAATTTGCAAAGCAAGGACACCTGTACTCTAATTTGTAGGAAAGAGATGTAGAATTAAATAAGTTAATATATATCAAAACACATTGAACTTTTGAGTGAACAGGTAGTAAAGCTAAGGCATCATTACAGATGTTAGTAATAATACAAGATTCATAAGTTTTGCTTTCATATGGTTTCTATGTGAAATTAGATTGCTCAAATTAATATTATCTAACACAGCACTCTGAGAGCAGGGAAAGATACCAGACAAAGATTGTTTGGCTTTTAAATTCATCTTTATTTATTTAAGATTTTATTTTTTTACTTGAGAGAACAAGATAGAGAGCATGATCAGGGGGCAGAGGGAGAGGGAGAAACAGATACCCCACCACCCCCGAGTAGGGAGCTGGACACTGGGCTCCATCCAAGAACCGGGAGATCATAACCTGAGCCAGAGGCAGATGCTTAACCAAGTGAGTCAACCCAGGCATCCCTTAAATTCATCTTTAAATCATTGAACCTGTTTTTCCCCACAGTCAGTGTAATGTCCAATGTGGATAGCCTTTGCTTAGCCCCTTGGTTTCCTTACCAGTCTCCTTACATACCATTTATTTCTACCTCTGGTGTTTACTCCTTGCTATTCATAAAACTTGGAGCATCCTGCTTCCTGTTCTGTATTTAAATCTTACCTATCCTACAAAGTTAGTTCAGATCCTTTCTCATCGACAAATTATTCTGATGCATCCCAGACTTCTCCCTCCCTACGTTCCTTTTGTACTTGAGTTAATAATAAACAGTTTGAGATTTAACTACCTTCTGATTGATTTCAGTATGTCACCTTGGTCTTTTCGATTTGACTGTCATTGCTTATTCTAAATTCTGGACATTTATTTAATCTGGAAGAATCAGAATAAGGAACACAGGAAGGCTAAGTGAGGTTGCTAAGACAAGAATAAGAATACGGGAAAGATCCTAGAGGTAGAAGGGAGGCTGGAAGCACTTAGTTCAGATTCATAATGGGATCTGGATTATCTGAGAAATAGGTGTCCTGCAGAGAAGAAATGAATTGGCCCCTTAAACATCAGATAGTATTTTATTTTATTTTTAAGATTTTATTTATTTATTCATGAGAGACACAGAGAGAGAAAGAGGGAAGCAGAGACATAGGCAGAGGGAGAAGCAGGCTCCATGCAGGGAGCCTGATGTGGGACTCAATCCTGGGACTCCAGGATCATGCCCTGGGCTAAAGGCAGACACTTAACCACTGAGCCACTCAGGCGTCCCAGTATTTTAAAATATCCCTTCTTCATTTGTTACTGGCCTGAACTTTAGTGCTTCTACGCTTAGCTTACCTGCCATTTTTTTGAGGTCTATCACTCTTCCTTTAGGCTGTCTTTAGCTGTTTTGCTCCTCATGCACACCTTCAAGGAGAAAAATCAAATCCATCTAGTACAAAAATTGATTGAATTATTGAACTGGATTATAAACTATTAGGTCAGAGAGCATGTAGTCTTTGTGTCCTTTAGTTCTTTGTTATTGACACCATTGTAATTTGGCTTTCTAAATTCTTAAAAAAAATAGAAGTTGTGTTTTTTGTAACATATATACCAACTTTGGAACAGAAAATTAATATTGTGATTTGTTGGTTGTCATATTTACAATGATTATTTTACATAGGAAATGCAGTATTTTTCAGCATTGGAGCAGTTAATGCATCTTGCTTTGAGTTGTATAAAAATATCTGTATCTTAGCTAGTAGTTTAAAAATATTTCTCAGTGGCTGAGAATTATTACTAGATTTGAATTTGCCTGAAGAGTTGGTTAGATGAAATAAAAAATATTTTAAAATAAGATGATACTATGAAAATATTTCAAATATAGGAAACTTTCTGAAGATTCATGGGCTTTAAAATTTAAAATATCAGTATTAATTTTTTTTTCCTCCTCATTAGGTACCTGCATTATTGCATACTGGCGGTATGGTTCATGGCTTGGGGCAATCAGTTGTCCAATCTGTAGACAAACGGTAATGTTTGTATCCAGAAAGCATCAATTTATGCTAGTTCCTTTTGTAAATTTTTAAAATTTCTGTATCTAATTTTTGAATTGTTCTGATTTTTTTAAGTTTTTTTTTTTTTTTTTAAAGATTGTATTTATTTATGAGAGACACAGAGAGTCAGAGGCAGAGGGAGAAGCAGACTCCCTGAAGGGAGCCTGATGTAGGACTTGACCTCAGGACCCTAGGATCACACCCTGAGCTAAAGGCAAATGTTCAACCACTGAGCTAGCCAGGCATCCCTTACAGTTTTATTTAAATTCCAGTTAACATCTAGTGTAATATAGGTTTCAAATGTACAATATAGTGAACAACACTTCCATACCATACACTGTGCTCATCATAAGTGTGGTCCTTAATCCTCATCATCTATCTCACCTATCCTCTCACCTAACGTCCCCTCTGGTAACCATCAGTTTGTTCTCTTTAGTTAAAAGAGTCTGTTTCTTTCCTTGCCTCTCTCTCCCGTTTTCATTTTGTTTCTTAAATTCCACATGTGAGTGAAATCATATGGTATTTGTCTTTCTCCAACTGACAGATTTCACTCAACATAATATTCTAGCTCCTTCCATGTTGTTGCAAAGTTGCAAATGGCACGATTTCATTCTTTTTTATGTCTCAGTAATACTCTATTGTATATATACCACTTCTTTATCCATTTAGCAGTTGATGGGCACTATGGCTGTTTCCATAATTTGGCTATGGTAGATAATGCTGCTAAACATTAGGGTGCATGTAACCCTTTGAATTAGTATTTTTGTCTTCTTTGGGTAAGCACCAGTTGTTGGGTCGTAAGGAAGTTCTGTTTATCCAAAGCTTCTATAGTGTTACTCCATTATTTTTTAACATGTCTGAAAGACACCAAGAAAAGGAAATTTTCTTCTAAATCCCTCAATTGTAGTAAAAAAAAAAAAAAAAAAAAACACCTGGTAAATGAAACCTTCTCAAAATTCTAGTGAGACTTCATTGTGATACTAGCAAAGGAATAATCGAACCAGCTAATCAGGCTTAAACAAGTATTTCCCCTACATATACTTCTTTTGGGAAAAAAAAAAAAAAAGTTCTTCCCTTCCAACTTACTTTAAAAAAAAAAAAGAATTTATTTATTTATTTGACAGTAGAGAGCAAGCTAGCACACAGGCAGGGGGAGTGGCAGGCAGAGGTGGAGAGAGAAGCAGGCTCCTGAATCTGGGCTAAATCCCAGGACACTGGGATCATGACCTGAGCTAAAGCAGAAACTTAACTGACTGAGCCACTCAGGGCTACTCAATTTACTTTAATCTGCCCTTCTCCAGTGAGGGTCTAAATAGCTTTATATGATGAATAATAATTTTTTTAAATGTCTCTTTGGGAGACATTTTTACATATTATATGATCCAGAACAGATCTTTATAGTTGGTATAGAAGGTACTTCAGGAGGGAAACAGTAAGTTTTTATAAATCTATACTGAAGACTGAAATGTCAGCACAGATGATATGTGCCACCTTTTCTCAATTTCTCTGATAAACCAGAAAAACAAAATACTGTTAAATTTGAGAAAATGAAATTTTTAGTTTTTAATTTTTTTTTTATTTATTTATGATAGTCACAGAGAGAGAGAGATAGAGGCAGAGACACAGGCAGAGGGAGAAGCAGGCTCCATGCAGGGAGCCCAATGTGGGACTCGATCCCGGGTCTCCAGGATCGCGCCCTGGGCCAAAGACAGGTGCTAAACCACTGCGCCACCCAGGGATCCCCTTAGTTTTTTAATTAGTAAATATAGTGAAATAGAACATTCTGTCAGTTGTATACTTTTTTTCATAATTTCCTGTATACTTACTTTATTTTTCATTTAAAATAAAAATACCTGCCTTTCTAATATTGAGTTATGAACATGTAAAAAGACAGTAGCTCCTTAGGAAGTATTCCATTGTGCAAAGCGAAGTCCTAAAACAGAGAGCTTTCAAGTAAAGAAGTCAAATTGAACACATATATTTGCTTTTGCTACCTTTTGCAAGCCCACTAAAAGAACAGGACGTTTTGTAAAAAGCCATAAACCCACAGAGACCAAAAAACGAATCAAAATGGTAGAAGAAGCCAGTTTTTCCAGAAGTCTTTGTAAACTATAACAGACATACAGAAAAGCACACAAAACAAATGAGTACAGCTTATTAAATCATCACAAAGCAACACTTCAGTAATCATCACTCAGGTGAAGAAATAGAAACTGGCCTAACAGCCCCCAGAAGCCTCCTAAGGATCAAATCTCCACCCGCTCCTTCCTCTCCTAGAGGCAAACTAGTGTTTGACTTTTATGATAAGCATTTCCTTGATTTTCTTTATAGGTTTATTACTGTAGCATACATCTCTAAGATTATTTAGTTTTGTCTGATTTTTGGACTTCATAGGAATAAAACCATATAGCATGAATTGTTAAACAGACACAGACACACATACCCTTTCAGCCTTTGTGATGCTGGCTATCCACTTATCCCCATCACTGCTTTATTTTTTGGTGTAGAGAGGGAAGTTCGGGGCTTTATCTTCCTTCTTTCCTGTGTGCTTCTACGTTTCCCAAATTCTGCCTCTTTCACATTTGACTTTGTATCACGTGGCTGGTGTGTTTTGTTTTTGTTTGTACTGCCTCTATGGCTGATTTGATTATGTGACACAAGGCAGTCAACAGAGAAGTTTATTTGCAGGATACCACCTCTCATAATCCTTAGCTATCTGCCAGCAACACCGAGACCAGACCATATTATAGAATGGTCTCACATTAAAGAATTAGTTCTACCACATGTCCCCTCTTCTTGGCTCTTTCCACAGCTCTTCATAGGTTATATATGTATTAGTAGGTGATACCCTTCTGACCACCCATAAATTGCTAGAGCCTAGAAAGGTAGAGAAAAAATTGTTTTTATATAATAGCTTTTGGTTCCCTAACTGTAGAAGAATTCATCCTGGAAGCAAGACAGGTGGCAGGTACCTGTTCCCCATCCTGTTTCACTGGAAATAGTGTACAGGCCGCTGCTTCTGACTGTAACATGCTCCCCACTTCTCTTTCTGAATGTATACCAGTGGTGTTACCTGCACTGCGAGGGCGATGATATGTTTCCAGCTTTCTGGGCACCCCAGGCAGAACTCTTTATTCTCAAGCATCATTATAACCCCCACCACAGTGCCTTATAACAGGCTGTTGACCAGGTCTGCTTCCCCTTCTATCCTTGGGGAGGTTAAGTTTTTGGGTATATGTAGCACTTAGCACAGTGCCTGGCCTACAGTAAGTGGTCAATTATTATTTATCGAAGGATGCATTTTTATTAGCCAATTTGTGAAGAGAGGCTGTACTTGCTTTCCTACCACCTACTGCTCTTCTTCACTCCTTTCTTTGGCTGTTTGGGGAGCATGTGAGTGGTGGGAAGTCCTGGTTTTACAGCTGACCTGAAGAAGGATCAGAACAGCTAGATGATTTAAACCTAAATCCGTCACTGCTCCTTCCCATTTTTATCCTACTGTACAGTGACCATTTCTATAGGCATGGTTATATATATATATATATATTTATATAAAGATTTTATTTATTTATTCATGAGAGAGAGGCAGAGACACAGGCAGAGGGAGAAGCAGTCTCCCTGCAGGGAGCCCGATGTGGGACTCGATCCCAAGACCTCAGGATCACGACCTGAGCCAAAGGCAGACATTCAACCACTGAGCCACCCAGACGTCCTGGCATAGTTATATATTAAAATGTACTTGTTTTTCAAGATGCTGTCATCTTCAGATTACCTCAGTATGGTCCTGGGATATTTGTTTATCCTAACCTCTACCATGGAGGAAACCAGGTTAAAAGTATTACATTATATATCAGTATCAAGAATTACCTTTTTTGACTATAGTAGGGATGGGTGTTTGAGAGTGGGCCTCTGCAATAACTTAATCGCTGTATTATGTTTGGTAGCATTTGAAGATATTTCAAATACCAGTGAGGTTGAAGAATAATGATTTTAATCACAAAAGAAATCCCTAATTTTTCTCTCACAATGTTAAACATGTATTTTTATGTCACTTTGCTCCTGAATATGTTCTCATAATTCTTACATCCTCAAATATTTGTTAGCCCAAACAGAGAACTACTGACTTTATTCCTAGAGTGAACTGGAAGATATTAGAACCAGTGTTTAGTTAATTTGCCCATTTGATTTTATGGGAATACAAATTACATTTTGCTTTGGATTTTATTGTAAGGCAATGATAACTTACTTTCCTCCTCATGTTGCCTTTATTCAAAGCAATGAGTGAAAAAAATGAATGAAATATAAGTTTAGAAGCTTTTCTCATTCTATTGAATAATAACACAAAAGGAAAATTAATGCAGAAAGGTATAACATTTTTTTTTTTTTGTAATACACAGGTAACTTTACTGCTAACAGTATTTGGTGAAAATGACCAATCTCAGGATGTTGTATCATTGCGTCAAGATATTAATGATTATAACCGGAGATTCTCAGGGCAGCCCAGATCTGTAAGTAATGTTATAGCAGGTGCAAAGTTAGAGTATAATGATACTTCTGTTTTGTAAGGTGAGATTGACCAAATATTCTTTGACTATAAAAAATCTCATTGTTTATGTGTGTTGGGTAAAGTTTTAACCTTTGTCATTGTTGTCAATTACAGAGTAACAGCTTTCCCAAGGACTATAGTTCTCTATTAAAAAAAAAAAGCATTATAGAAGTCTTTATAAGAGAGATATCAAAAAAGAAAAATTAGAGGGAAATGTAAAATTATTGACTCCAGTGCAAATCTAAAATAGGGACTGTCTAATGAAAAACTTAAAACTGAGAACTTGTGGAGAGTTTTACAATTGTGTTTTCTACTTTTTTATTTACCCTGGCCTTCTGTTTGAAATGTTTCCCTAAGTAAATCTAGGTGTTGAGGTTTTTTGATATGTTATTTTAGTTACCTAAAAGCATTTGATTTTTAAAGAACATATTGACTCTATAGTTGACCTCGCCCCCAAAAAAAATCATATGGTAGGTTAAAAACTCACATTTTACTGGCTCATTCAGTTTTCTTAAAATCTAACAAAGAATTCTAGAAGTGTGTGCATGACTAAGTATGTACTTCAAAAATAAGAATATGCTAAGTACATATTTATATGGAAAGTCCTCTGAGCTCTAAAGCATACATGCAGGTACTTGGCTTGCATCTCCACTCGGATATTTCACAGCGTCTCACACGCCATATGTACAATATTGAATTGCTTCCCTCCTCAACAGTGTACTCTTTTCTCAGTCTTACTCAGCTGTTTTGATTTCTTCCTTTCCCTCATTCCCCTCACCTGATCTAGAAATAAGTTGTGTCATTTCTTTTTTTAGGAGATCCTGTCATTTTTATCTCATAAAAATAGGCTGTGTTTATAGCAATCATACTAGCCTAAGCCACCATCATCTCTTGCTTAGGATACACTTCAAGTGGCCTTGTCACTGTGACTTTTTTCTCTGCATAGCAGCCCAAATAATATTTTGAAAACATAAATAAAACCATGACATTTTTGTATTTTAAAACTTCCAGTGTTTTGGAATAATGTTCCAACTCCTTCCTGTGCTCACAAGGTCCTGCATGACCTAGTCACTCTCTCCCAAGCCTCACTCAAAATGCTTCACCTCCACCAGCTGCCTTTCACTCTCAAAATACACTCCAAGTTTTTCCATCTTACTACCTTCACACATGACGCCTCTATTTGGCATACTTGTCCCTCTGCTTTTCTCATGGCTGACTTCTCATCTTTTAGGTTGTTCTTAAATCACCCTTCCTCAGGGAGGCTTTCCTGATCAACTAAGGTATTCACTATCATTGTCCTCTGCACTGTTCCTTTGTAGCATGTCACAAACGATACTCAAATCTCGTTCATTATCTTTCTCTCAGTAGACTAAAAGCTTCATGAGGGCAAGCATTATCTTTATATACTCACTGCTCTATTCTCATTGCAATTTCAGTGCCTGGGATACAGTAGGTTCTTAATATTTGTTGAATAAATTAATGAGTTATCCTTAAAAATTGATACTACTACTCTCAGCAAATAATATAATCTATTAAAATGCTTCAGTATTATTATATGTGCTGCCAAAACAAGCACAAAGTACTTCAGTATTAAATACTTGTGTAATCTTGTGCTTCTTTGCCTGTATTCCTTATACTGTGATGTCATGTACACTTAAGAGCATACAATTTCAAAAGTTGTGGATAACAGATAAATCTAGCTGTTTAAACAGACAGAAAACTTAATCCAATCATTGTTGTCCTCCATAGTTATTTGGGGGCCTCTTCTATTTTTCATCCAGCAATTATTTTTTTGCATATCCTCTAGTGACATCTATAGGATGATTCTTTGAAAATCAACATGTCCCAAATTCAAGACCTATCACTGAACTTAAAAAAAGTCATTTTAAGATATTTATTCCTATTTTTAAGTGTGAAGCATACCATTGCTCAATTATTAATTTTTGGTAGGTGTCATATATTTGATGAGTAAGAAGTCTGGTGTGTGATGAAATTACAGTGTAATAGAGACAGCTTTGATTGGTATTTTCCCTCATCCAAAGTTGGAGTAAGATTGTGATTAATATACAGACATTTCTTTTTTTTTTCAAACATTTCTTAATAACCTTAATCATCCTTCTTGTCTACTTATTACAGAGTTTGTATAAGTGATACCATATGAAAACAGCTCTGATAAGGGACAGAAAAGTATTCAAAAGACCTCTGGCTGGTCACTAGAATATTTAAAATAATTTATCATAGACTTGTGAAAGTTATACAGCTGTTTTGTTTTAAATGTTTCTCCTATAGAGAATAGAAAATTAATGTAGGAAGTGATTCTAAAAAGACCATTTTGATTTTTTATGACCAAGTTTTCAAAAGGATTTACGAGATTATCTGGTGGAGTTTATATAACTATTTACTTATTACTTGCTCAGTTCTTCCCATTTTTGTCTTCACTTCCCTCTCTACTTATTTGGCACTCGTGAGGCAAACAAAATATATATAGTAATTATACAGATTGTTAAAAAGAGCTGAGCTGTGCCCAGTGGAATGACCACAGGAAGTGACTTTTTTCCTCTGGTCAGTTTCTCTGCATTACCAGCCCCTGAGAAGTGAGATCATGAAAGAAGTTAAGAAATCATGGTAGTTACTTACTACACAGCACCATATGTAAAACAAATGCAAAGTTTGGAGACAGAGGATAAACTAACTTGCTCAAGGTCATACAAGTAGATATTAGTACTCTTTTGTTAACTTTAGATATATTTTACTTGTCATAAAGTGCAACCTGTTTAAAGTATGTAATTCAGTGGTGTTTAGTGTATTCAGAGTAAATCTAATCTAATCATCATCATAATCTAATTTAACAGTATTTTCATCATCCCTAAATCTTGGACATCCTTTCCCATTCTCCCCTTTCCTGTCCTCTCTCCCCAGTCCTTGGTAACCACTAATTTACTTTCTGCCTCTATAGATTGGGCTATTCTGGACATTTTCATCGTTTCATTGAAATGGGATCATACAATATATGACCTTTTGTCTCTAGTTTATTTCACTTAGCATTAGTGTTTTTAAGGTTCATCGTGTTGTAATTTATATCAGAACTTCATTGCTATTTATGGCCAAATAATATATCACATTTTGTTTATACATTCATCAGTTGATGGACATTAGAATTGTTTCCACTTTTGATCTATTATGAATACTTCCATTCACATTTGTGTTTTCATTCCTCTTGAGTATATGCCTCGTTGTGGAATTGCTGGATATTATGATAGCTCTATGTTTAACATTTAGAGAAACTGCCAAACTGTTTCCAATAGTTTGTGAGGGTTCCAAGTTCTCTGAATGCTTCAATTTTCAAAAATTGATATAATTTGTTAAATTTCAGCTGTGAAAATTATGCTCACTTATGTAAAAATTAATGTTTCTGTGCATATTTCAGAAGCATAATAGGTTTTTTTTCTTTTATCTTTTTTTCATAATCGTTTTCACAAAGGTAGGGTCTGACTTTCCAAAAATTTTTGTGGCAATTAGTAATTTGCTTAAACTCAAGCTAAACCAAATAAACATCCTAGGAAGGAATCAGTTTCATTGCTATTCTTAGACTGTCAAAGCCATGTAAGTTAATGTGTCTTTAATGTATACTACTTCTGTATTGTCTGGCAATTTACAAAGATCCTTTGTATACAATATCTCTTTTAGTTCTTAATAGCCCTAGTGGCATATACTTGGTTGCATCATCTCAGTTGTTTAAACAACTTTCCCCAAGGTCACCTGACCACTAAGAGATTGACTTTGAGTTTAAACCCAGACCTGTCTGACTTTAAGAGCTGAGACTTGAGCTCAAGCCTTAGGCTCTAATCCTATATACACACACAGGAGCTTCATTTGGTTTATTTTACTAATTCAAATTAGAGAGGACTTGAATTTTGCTTCAGTATATCCTATATTTTAATTAAGTTTGTTGACATTTTAGTTGCTTTTCAGTTATCTGCTGTAAGATCTACTTTATAAGAACCTAGTTATCAAAGATCTGTTTTTAAATAAAAGATATAACTAGAAAATATGTGAAACTCCTTAATTCATGTTAACTGAGTTTGTACATTGTAAGAATATTATATTATTTTGATATCTGACATATTAGATGACAAATCATATTTTGTTCTTCCCCCTACCAGATTATGGAAAGAATTATGGATCTACCTACTTTACTGAGGCATGCATTCAGGGAAATGTTTTCAGTCGGGGGCCTTTTCTGGATGTTCCGCATCAGGATAATACTTTGTTTAATGGGAGCTTTTTTCTATCTCATATCACCTCTAGATTTTGTACCTGAAGCCTTGTTTGGAATTCTAGGCTTTCTAGATGATTTCTTTGTCATCTTTTTGTTGCTCATCTACATCTCTATTATGTATCGAGAAGTAATAACACAAAGACTAAACAGGTGAAAAAGTGTGAGTTTACTAAAATGTTTCAGCCTATGTGTGAAATCAGAAGAGCCCATGGCAGTATAGCATTTGAATATTATTGTACAAGCTTAAAACAACTGTGTGACAAACATTTGATTTCATTTGGCAAATGCCTAACAAGATAGGACTGGAATTTTTACATTACAGGTTCTAATATTAAGATTAGAATTATAATAACTTACAACTATATATTGATTCTGTGTTGTCTCTAAGTCTCTGGAAGAAATATGGAATTATATAAAAAGGGATAATTTTGTACCTTTTTATTTTTCCAAAAATTACTCAGATTAATTGGAAAAATAGTAAGATACTGTTTTACAGTTTATCCAATTTATCCTTTTCAGTGTGTATCTATATGATATATCGCTACGAGATGCATCTAATTATTTTTGTTACAATAAAATGTACAATATTGGGGGAAAGTCAGTGTGTCTTTTAGTACTAGCTAAGTTTTATGCATTTGGAGCAGTTGTGCTTTTCCATTCTGATATAATTCTTTGCTATCAGCTACAGTTAAAGAAGAAACTTGAAATTTATAATATGATTTTTTTTAATTTATTTATTCATGAGAGACACAGAGATAGAGAGAGATGCAGAGACACAGGCAGAGGGAGAAGCAGGCTCCATGCAGGGAGCCCAACGTGGGACTCCATCCCGGGTCCCCAGGATCAGGCCCTGGACTGAAGTCGGCGCTAAATCGCTGAGCCACCCGGGCTGCCCCTATAATTTGATTTTATGTTTTGGTTTATAAGACACTTGTTAATCAAAAGAAGAATTAACACGATACAAGACATTTATCTGTAGTCAGCACACATGATTTTTTTCAGTTGTGACATTTAAACAAGAATTTGGTTGGTTTTTTTTTTTTTTTTTTAAGATTTTATTTATTTATTCGTGAGAGACAGGGGCGGGGGGCAGAGACAGAAGCAGGCTCCATGCAGGGAGCCCAACTTGGGACCCGATCCCAGGTCTCCAGGATCACACCCTGGGCTTTAAGTGGTGCTAAACCACTGGGCCACTGGGGCTGCCCAAGAATTTGGTTCTTTTATAGAAATCATCTATCAAAGTAACTTGTAAAGGGAAATTTTTTTTCAGGAACCTCTGTGATACTGCAAACACATAGTAGTTTGATGCGTTTCTGAGGAAAGTAGCTTTTCATGGCAATGAGCATCAAAGACCTTGGGATGGGTATAGGGACACTATTTAAATTTAACAAGAGATATTACTGGTGAGCTATACCAACAGAATGGGCAATTTTGGTTTTCTTATCAGAAAACTTTTGTAATACTGTCCCTAGATGGCAGCATATAGCCCAGATTCCTCAGGTCTAACACAATGAGCAAGTGTTGTCTGAGGCAATTCAATAAAAAAGTTATCTTGCTTTTTTGATGGCTACAGCATAAGTACCTAATGCTCTCATCTGCAGTTTTCTGTTTTAGAAGAATCAAAACCACAAGGTTATGAAATCCTGACTCCCTCAGCTGGCACTGCTCATCTGTGAACTGGACAGCAAGGTAATCAATCAATGCCAAGGGGTCAGTGCTGGCTCTGTCACCTTGCAGTCACTGATGGTCATACTGTCCATTCATATGTTAGTGAGCCTATTTATGTATTGAGGGAGAAAAACCCCCAAATCTATCACATTCTCTCAAGTTCATCTGATTAATCATTAATTAATGAGATGCTGAATGAAATACCAGTAACAGTATTTTCTAATTTGGGTGTACCTTTGTATTGCTTGTCATAGAGAAAACAATAATGCATAAATGTAATACATTATAATTAAAGCATTTCTTGCATACTTGACATTTTATCCTTAGGACAGTCATGTGAAGAAGGCAGAGTATTGCCTTCCTTTTCATAGATGAAATCCTTGTGTTACAGATTAAATTTTGGTTTGAAGCCATGCACAAATAACTGCATAAACAGGTATTAGACTTTTAGTAAACTTCTTAGTATGGGTTCAAATAGATGTGAAGGTTACTATGAAGAGATGAAAAGCAGGAGAGAAACTGGGAACCTTGGGAAGCCTTTCAGAACACACTGGAGTAACATTAACTTAGGTGATTTAAGAGGAAGGGTCTAGAAAGATGATATATCAAGACTTCATGAATCCTAATTCTACAGTTCCAAATCAAATGTCCAGAGTGGTGGCATGTTTCAGCTGCAATTACCTGTTGAAAAGCTAACAAGTTGGGACTTGGGTATGCCACCATTTACCAGACTAGAAACAGATTTGTCACCAATTACAAATTTGATGTGGGCTATAGCAATGTCATTTTTTTGAAAGGATTTAATTTTCTTTGCATGTATTCTGCTTCAAATGTCGCATTTCTAGTTATAAGTTTATTGTAATATTTGTAATTCCTTCTAAGACTTTCCTATAGAGGTGTATTGTACCAACTTCTGTAACATACGAAGACACTATATAATGTGAGTCTTATTAAATTGAAAAGGGAACACGTGGACATCTCAGAATTTTAGGACTGCTTATTTCATCTTTCCTGATTACTGATAATAAATGTGAAAGGGATTTGAGAGTATTTAAAGCAAGTAGAGTCAATCAGTGTTTTAAAATAGTAATACTTCTATGATTTAGTTAGATCATATAAATCAAAGGAACAATTTGGATTTTTGTAAACTGCAATATTGTAACTTTCACAAAAACAGATGGTCCAACCCGAGGAGCAGAAGATAACTTTAGGCATCATGGGGGAACATGATGGTGGAAACAATTATTCTGTTCATTAGAACACTGGTTTCAGCTACTATAATTCTCAGCATTTGAAAGCAACAAGGGTCCCTGTGGCTGTGCAGATACAAACCTCACAGGGCTATTTCAGTGGACTGGTGGTTTGGTCCAAACTTTGTGACTTAGGTTGTCAAGCAGTTACTCTTTTGAATAAAAGCAATATATCTAAAATTAAAAACTTGTATTATATTCCTGTTTAATATTGTTTGCTTTAAAATTCAGAACTCCTGAAATAGTGTTCAATGTAATTGTTGCAGTGACTTTTTTTTCACTAACAGACATCCAATGTCTCATCACATTTCTAATTATGCTTACATATTTTTAAACTGAAAAAGTAGAAATGTTTTTATTTTTGAGGAAAATTATTTTTTTTAAGATTTTATTTATTTATTCATGAGAATACACAGAGAGGAGAGAAAGAGAGAGGCAGAGACACAGGCAGAGGGAGAAGCAGGCTCCATGCAGGGAGCCTGACGTGGGACTTGATCCCAGGTCTCCAGGATCATGCCCTGGGCTGAAGGCGGCGCTAAACCGCTGAGCCACCCGGTCTGCCCTGAGGAAAATTATTTAATGTGGGCAATCTATTCTGGTGGAATTGGAATTAGAATTTAGACTTGTACCCTGATTTGCCCTATTTCTTTAGAGTATATATTTGATTACCTTTTTTTCCCTAACTTATGTTTTTTTAATTTTAATTCCAGTATAATTAATATATAGTGTTACATTAGTTTCAAGTGTACAATCTAGTGATTCAGCAATTCTTTTTTATATATATATATATATTTTTAATTTTTTATTTATTTATGATAGTCACAGAGAGAGAGAGAGAGAGAGAGGCAGAGACACAGGCAGAGGGAGAAGCAGGCTCCATGCACCGGGAGCCCGATGTGGGACTCGATCCAGGGTCTCCAGGATCACACCCCGGGCTGCAGGCAGCGCTAAACCGCTGAGCCACCGGGGCTGCCCTGATTCAGCAATTCTATACATTACTCAGTGGTCATCATGTTATATGTACTCTTAATTCCCTTCACCTATCTCACCTATCCCCTTACCCATCACCAGTTCTCTATATTTGAGTCTGTTTTTTTCTCTCCTATGTTTGTTTTGTTTCTTAAATTCCATATGTGAATGAACTCATATGGTATTTTTCTTTCTTTGGCTTAATTTCACTTAATATTACACCATATAGATCTATCCATGATGTTGTAAATGGCAAGATTTCATTCTTTTTATGGCTGAGTAATATTCCATTATACACACACACACACACCCCACATCTTTTTTATCCATTCGTCTATCCGTGGACACTTGGGCTGCTTCCATATCTTGGCTATTTTATTTTTATTTTTAAAAAGATTTTATTTATTCATGAGAGACAGAGGCAGAGACCCAGGCAAAGGGAGAAGCAGGCTCCCTGTGGGGAGCCCAGTGTAGGACTCGATCCCAGGACCCTGGGATCATGACCTGAGCCAAAGGCAGACACTCAACCATGGAACCACCTAGGTGCCCTATCTTGGCTATTTTAAATAATGCTGCAGTAAACATAGGAGTGCATGTAGCTTTTCAAATTAGTATTTTCGTTTTCTTTGGGTAAATACCCAGTAGTGGAATTACTGGGTCATATGGTAATTGTGTTTTTAACTTTTTTGAGGAAAATTCATAGTTTTTTCACAGTGGCTGCGCTAGTTTGCATTCCCACTAACAGTGCAAGAGGGTTTGTTTATCTCCATCTCCTCGTCCATGCTTGTTTCTTGAGCTTTTGATTTTAGCCGTTCTGACAGGTGTGATGTAGTATCTCCTGTAGTTTTGATTTGCATTTTCCTGATTAGTGATGTTGGGCATCTTTTCAGTGACTGCTGGCTATCTGGATGTCGTCTTTGGAGAAATGCCTGTTCATGTCTTTGCCCATTTTGTAATTGGATTATTTGCTGTTTTGGTGTTGAGTTGTAGAAGTTTATGTATTTTTGATACTAACTTCTTATTGGATATGTCATTTTTAAATATCTTCTATATTCAGTAGGTTATCTTTTTGTTTTGTTGATTGTTTCCTTTGCTGCACAGAAGCTTTTTATTTTGATGTAGTCCCAATAGTGATTTTTTTTTTCCCTTGCCTCAGGAGATCTGTCTAGATTAATGTTACTATTGCTGTTGTCAGATTACTGCCTGCTTACTCTCTCCAAGGATTTTTATAGTTTCGTTTAGGCCTTTAATCCATTTTGAATTTATTTTTGTGTATGGTGATGGAAAGTAGTCCTATTTTATTCTTTTGCACATAGCTGTTGATTTTCCCAACATCTTTTTGTTGAAGAGACTATCTTTTTCCCATTGCATATTCTTGCCTCCTTTGAAGATTAATTGACCTTATAATCGTGTGTTTATTTCTGGGCCCTCTATTCCATTGATCTTTGTGTCTATTTTTATACCACTATCATGCTGTTTGATTACTATAGCTTTGTGTAGTATATTTTAAGTCTGGGATTGTGATACCACCAGTTTTGTTGTTCATTTTTGAGATTGCTTTGGCTATTCAGGATCTTGTGTGGTTCCATACAAATTTTAAGATTATTTGTCTGGTTCTATGAAAATTGCTGTTGGTATTTTCATAGGGATTGCACTGAATCTGTAGATTGCTTTGGGCAGGATAGACATTTTAACAATATTGCTCTTCTAATCCATGAACATGGAATATCTTTCTATTTGTGTTGTCTTCAGTTTGTTTCATCAGTATTTTATAGTTTTCAAAGTACAGGTTTTTCACCTCTTTGGTTAAGTTTATTCCTAGGATTTCATTCTTTTTGATGCAATTATAAATGGAATTGCTTTCTCAATTTCTCTGCTACTTCATTATTAGTGCATAGAAATGCTATGGATTTCTGTATATTGATTTTGAATCCTACAACCTTATTGAATTCACTGATCGGTTCTTGTATTTTGGTGGAGTCTTTAAGTTTTCTATATATAATGTTATGTCATCTGCAAAGAGTGGAAGTTTTACTTCTTCCTTACCAATTTGAATGCCTCTTATTTCTTTTTCTTGTCTGATTGCTGTGGTAGGACTTCCAGTACTATGTTGAATAAAAGTGGTAAGAGAGGACATCCTTGTCTTGTTCTAGACTGTGGGGGGATTGGGGAGCTCTCAGCTTTTCACCATTGAGTATGACGTTAGCTCTGGGTTTTTCATATATGGCCTTACTATGTTGAGGTGTATTCCTTCAACCAACCCTCCTTTGTTGAGGGTTTTTATCATGAATGGATGTTGTACATTGTCAAATGCTTTTTCTGCATCTAGGGAAATGATTGTATGGTCTTTATCCTCTTATGATGCTAAAATATTCTTTTCTGAGTCTATGCCCTTATGTTTGCACCAACACCTTCCCCTACCCCCCCCCCTTTAAACATTAAATATGCTAATATACTCCAGGGTCTTCTGTTTTTCTAAACAGCACCCCATAAACCAGGGAGTGGGTCAGAATAGGAAAGGGCATTCAAATTTTTATGGCCTAAGACTTAAAGAGTTTCCCAGGCCCAGGCTAGTGGGCCTTAAGGGCTGTTGACAGGATGTGATACTGTTATAGAAATAAAGACAAACACTGAGCTTTCGTTTTTCTCTCAGAACCAGACCATCTTCATGGCATTAGTATTTAAGCATTGATATACTGACTGCAAGCAAATCTGAGATGTTATCAGTCACTGTCATCCCCATCCACCTACATGCTCTGATTTGGTCCATGTCCCAGAAGGGTGCACAAGAGGAGTAAACACCCAGTTAGAAACACTAAACATATTTGCACACTGTCCTGAATTCTCCTTCAAACTATTGGTATATAGCTGTGGGTCTTCTAAGGGGTACGTGACACAGGAGAGGGCTAAAGGCTAGTGATGTTTTAAACTCACTGGCATCTAACAGTTTAGATTTTAATTTGTTTAAAAACAAAATTTTGAAAAAGTATTTAAAAATACCTGACATCCATGGGGCACCAGGGTGGCTCAGTTGGCTTAGTGTCTGACTCTTGGTTTCTGCTCAAGTCATAATCTCAGGGTTGTGAGATTGAGCCCCGTGTTGGGCTCTATGCTGGGCAAGGAGCCTGCTTAAGATTCTCTCTCTCCCTCTGCCCCTCCCTCTGCTCTCTAAAATAAATAAATCCTTTATAAAATAAAAAAAAAAACAATACCTGACATTCAGATCAAAACACTAATCCTTCTAATCAGAGAAAACAATTTATATCTACATGAAAATTACTGTGTCACTAATCCTAGGATATTAAAACTGGAAGGGACCTTAGAAAACCACATGAAAGCTACAGATAGCCTCCCAGAAAAATGCATATATATATATATATATATATATGCATATATATATATATATATATGCATATATATATATATATACACACACACACATATGTGTAATTTTCTTTCAGAGGATTCAAAGACGTGGCCATTCAGAATTCCAAATTAAGATTTCTTCATTTAGGGATGCCTGGGTGGTTCAGTGGTTTAGTGTCTGCCTTCGACTCATGGGCGTGATCCTGGAGTTCTGGGATCGAGTCCTACATCAGGCTCCTGCAGGGAGCTTGCTTCTCCCTCTGCCTATGTCTCTGCCTTTCTCTGTGTTTCTCATGAATGAATAAATAAATCTAAAAAAAAAAAATTTAGTCCCATAGCTTTACTCTACAGATAAGGATAATGAGGGCCAGAGAGAATAAATGGTAGGGTACTTTTAATAAAAGTTGTTTGCTGTTTTTGTTTTTTGGGGTTTAAAAATGATTTTTAATAAAATAATTTTGTAGGGTTTTTTTTTAAAGATTTTATTTATTTGAGAGAGCGCACAGAGTGAGAAGGAGAAACAGACTCCCTGCTGAACAGAGAGCCCGATCATGACCTGTGCCAAAGGCAGACTCTTAACCAACTACGCTACCCAGGCACTCCTAAAAGTTGTTTATAGAAAAAAGAAAGCATAGTTGGATAGAAATTAAAATCTGAACTATTAGATATTAGTGAATTTAAAACATCTTTAGTTCTTAGCCCTCACCTACATCAAAAGAAGTGGCTTGTTTTTTTCCAGGTTATCAAACAAGAAGACAAAGTTTACCCTTCTTGAATAATTATGACAACTTATCCTTTTCATGTCAAGGGTTACGTTTTCCTTTTTCCTAAAAAGCTATCAATTTATTTCCTTAAAAAAAAAAAAACCTATTAGTGAATTAGCTCTTAGTTTCTTAAGACTTTGAAAAGCAGAATTCTAACCAGTCTTCCTCAGTTTACCCCATTTATTCTCATTCCCATAAATGTTCATATAAAGCTAAGGCAGATATTCATTTTGGTTGTTTTTTTTTTTAAGATTTTATTTATTCATGAGAGACACAGAGAGGCACAGACACAGGCAGAAGAAGCAGGCTCCATGCAGGAAGCCAGACGTGGGACTTGATCCCCGGTCTTCAGGATCAGGCCCTGGGCTGAAGATGGCGCTAAACTGCTGAGCCACCCGGGCTGCCCATATATTCATTTTGATACTTATGTAAGGGATCAAATGAAGAGATCAAATCAGTATATAAACATCTCTCCCATTCTCTAAAAGGCAATTTTGCATATCTTGTGTAGCCCTTGTTTGCTTAATAATCTGTTTTATTAAAGTTGAATAAACAGATTTAAAACAATTTTTTAAAATATTTTATTTATTCATGAAAGACAGAGAGAGGCAGAGACACAGGCAGAGGGAGAAGCAGGTTCCATGCAGGGAGCCTGATGTGGGACTCGATCCCGAGTCTCCAGGATCACGCCCTGGGCCGAAGGCAGACGCTAAACAGCTGAGCCACCCAGGGATTCCCCCCCACCTTTTTTTTTTTTTTTAAAGATTTTATTTATTTATTCAAAAACAATTTTTTAAACTTAAATTCAGTTAAACATATAGTGTATTATTCGTTTCAGAGGTAGAATTTAGTGATTCATCAGTTGCATATAATACCCAGTGCTCATAACATCATGTGCCCTCCTTAATGCTCAGCACCCAGTTACCCCACCCTCCACCCACCTCCCCTCCACTGACCCTCAGTTTTTTACACCAGAGATTTTCTAAATCATCAGGGTCAGATGATGAATTATCATGAAGTGAACGCACTGTTTAACTATCACCTCAGTCAAAAGACACATTACCACCATCTCATATGCCCCCTTTCATTCCCTCTCTACCCCAAAGTAACTTTTGACTTTTACCAACCCTTTTTTACTCTGTAAAAAAATAGGATCATATATTTGCTTTTGTGTGACTTCTTCAATATTACGTAAGAACCATCCATATTGTTGCAGGTCATAGTTTTATTTTGATTGCTGTATAGTATTCCTTTGTATGACTATACCACAATTTATTCATTCAACTGATTAATGGCCATTTGAATTGTTAAAAAGACAGATGATCCTCTTTGAAATAAATGTTCCCTGCAATCACCCCTTGACCAGAGAGGGGTGAGTAGAGAATAGTTATATGAGCCTTAAGAAATATGTTGACAAGAAATGGGTAAAGGAGAGAAGAAAAACAGACAATGCGTATATATTAGTTTAGAGAAAGTGGAAATTATTTTTCTATTAAATTTGTAGACTACACAAGAGTGAAAATTTAAATTCGGGGGGGGGTTAGAAAAATTCAACATTCAGTTCAATTAATATTTTAAAAATTACAGGCAATTTACTTGGTCAATAAATTTACCATTGCAGTGCTTGCTTTGGCAGCACATATAACTAAAATAAATTTACCATTTCAAAGTAAGGAAACATTAGGATTATTTTCAATAAATAATAAAAATATAGATTTCACTTCTAAGTTATTAATACCTAGAAGAAAGAAAACAAAAAGGGGGGCTGAAGAAGAGAACTTCATTGAAGGAAATCCAACCAAGTAACTAAACTGACTAGTTTCACTCTAAACAAACTGATTAAAAATTATAAACTTCAAAAGGGTGCTCTGCACTGGTTGGTGATCCTTGCACTTCCTTAGTAGCTTGCATGACCAACCTCTGAGTACTTTTGGTCTTTTTCTTCTGACATTCTCCAGTCCTACACTCCCAGAACTGATGCCTGCACTTCAGAAATTGCTCCCACTCTGCAAGTCCTCTATTTTGTGGGGAGAAGAGGATAGCTCTTGTTTTCTTTTTTAAGGCCATCCCTCCATCTAAATGCTCAAGCCATAAATTTAATACCTTGATTCCTCTCTCTTCTGCATTCTCATATTAGCACAAAGCCTTGACATTTCTACATCCAACATGTTCTCAAATCCTGGTCATTCCATCTCCACTACCACTACCTTAGTCCAAGTCACCAAGCTGTGTTACTAGCCTGCCATGGCCTCTTACTGGTCTGCTGCTCACTTGCACTGTTGCCCCTCTGAAAAGCTCTTCATCTAATAGAATGACGTTTAAAAATGTCATGTCTCTCCCTGCCTAAAAAGGTTCATTGGCTTCCTACTGTACTTAAAATCTAAACCTACGTCAACCTCACTTCATGCCCTGATTCCCCTGGCTCCTGGGCTCATGCCGCAGCCTCCATTCAGTTCCCAGAAAATAACTAAACTCACTGCTGCCACGGGTCCTCAGTACACACTCCCTGTATGGAGAATGTTCTTCCCAGCCTCCCTGTTTTCATTCTTCACAGTGTTAGATCTTTTTCCATTCTTTCTCAGGGAAATATTCCCTTCTCAGATGATCCACCTACCCCAGCTAAAGTAAGTAGTGACCCCTCCTCTATGTATTCAGGCATCTCAGCACAATGTTATTTTATTCGCCTTCTTATTGTCTGTCTTCCCCTTACTACAATAAACTCTGTGAAGGTAGGGACTGTTAATCTTGCTCACCAGTATATTCCCAGACCTAGCATAATGCCTGCCATTTGCTCAATAAATGTAAATAAAGAAATGGAAGGGAAGAAAAGGAGAGAAGACAAGATCACTTCTTATTCCTTATTCCCAGCCAGGTTAAGCCACCATCCTCTCTCACCTACACTGCCATAGAAGCCTGCCTATCAGTCTCTCTGCCTCTAAGTACCCCCTGCTATCTATACTCAACACAGCAAAGTGATGGTTTTAAAAGACGGATCATTTCTCTGCGTAAACCATGTTCTCCATCTCAGAGTAAAAGTCAAAGTCCTTACGCTAGCTTACAGGTCCCTACATGACCTCAGCCTGTTTCCTCTGACTTTATTATTTGTCCCCCCAGCTCACTCTGCTCCAGTCACACGGGCCCCTTTACTGTTCTTTGTACAGGCTGGGGACACTGAGCCTCAAGTTTTACCTTAGCCATTCCCTCTGCCTGTAAGACTCTTCCCCCAGATATATTTCTAGCTAACTCTTACCCATTCCAAATTTTGGCTCAGTAGTCTCTACTAAGCCTGTCCTATCCTTTGTATTTAAAATTGCAACCTCCTCACCCCCCACATAGCCCCTTTCACCTTTTAACATGTCATATGGTTTTATGTTCTTTGTCCCCTCCAACCTCCACTAGACTATTACCTCCGTGAAGGCAGAAATCTTTGTCTTGTTCATTTATGTATCTCAAGTCCCTAGAACTGTGCATAGAACATAGCAAATGTTGAGCAAATATCTGCTGAATCAGCTGATGAGTCAATTTCAGTGAACTCTTAGTTAAAATATGCTTTTCAGTTCACAAGCAGCTATCACACTTTTTTTTAAAGATTTTATTTGTTCGTTAGAGACAGAGAGAGAGAGAGAGGCAGAGACATAGGCAGAGAGAGATGCAGGCTCCCCTCAGGAAGCTTGATGGATCTCTGAACTCCAGGATCATGCCCTGAGATGAAAGCAGAGCTTAATTGCTGAGCCATCCAGGCATCCCTATCACATTCTCATCCTTATTGCATGCACAGTAAACCACAGAAGAAATTTCTGTCTATCCCTGGAAATGCTAATAAACTATTATTTTAGTATTTGGTGAAAGGATATGGCTCTGAAATTCCTCAAGTTTTCTGGGCCCAGTTGATTTAACAAACATTTTCTAGATACTTAATGCCAGACACTGCAAGCTGCTGGGGTTACAAGGCTAAGACAAAGTCCTCCTCAACAGGGCCTCAGTCCATGAAGTGGGACAACCATACAGTAACGTATGGTTCATATACAGAGAGGTTAAATGCAAAGTTTTCGTTGGAACAAGAGAGGTGCCTAAGTTGAGAGGCTTAAGAAAAAGAGGATAAAGAAAGCATGTTAGAAAACATAACACCTGAGCCACATCTTGAAGGTGGACAGATCAGGGAAAGGCATTTCAGCCTAAGGGCAAACAGGCTATTTATGGAAGCCAGGAGAATGTCTGCCCTGTGTAAAACATGATGGTAGGAAAGAGTTAAAGACAAGTGGATGGAGAATACAGTGAAAAGGTAGAGGTAGCCGGTCCTCAACGGCTTTATGACACTATCCAGGAGAGGAGGCAGCTTTTGAAGATGTGAACAGGTGTATGACAATTACCTTCTGTGGAGGATAGACTGGAGAGGCAAAAACGAGACCTCGGACAGTCAGAGGCTGTTGCATGGTTAAGAGAAGGCGAGAGGGCCTGGTCAAGAACAACGAGGAGAGGGATGGATTCAAGAAGTATTTACTTACTTTATAAACTTATCCTGGTCATCAAACAGATGTAGAGAGTGGGAAAGAAATCTAAGGTTTCCGGTTTAAGCAACTGAACACACAATTCACAGAGGATAATCGAAGGCAGAAAAATTTACATAAGAAATAGAAGACCCTTAGGAAATCAGAGCGTTTTATTGAACTCCAGCAGCAGGGTGTTTGGGAGGAGGAGGGCAGAGGATGGAACCCCGGGGAACCACGAGGACTGAGGCGGCGGTAGGCAGAAAGAGTACAACAGAGCCGTGGAATTCGTCACCAGCCTGCGCTGCAGACCCGCAGGCCCCGACCTGCAGGAGGGAGGGCACGCCGCAGGAGGCAAGCGCAGGGACCCACCCGCGCAGCTCGCGATCCCACCCGGCACCTGCGGAGCACTACCGCTACGGAATCCGGCAGGAGCGAGGGTGCCCGCTCGCACTGCCACAGCTCTGGCGCCTGCGCTCTCAGAGCCTTGTGACACCTGAAGGGCAGGTAATGAATGGGATGAAGCCTGGCGATGTGGGCAAGGATCCACAGAGTTTCACAGATCATATTCCACCTGTGGCTGCCCTCTGAGAGAAACGGGAAGAGCTACCCAAAGGCCTCACCTTCATACCTGCCCTCCTCTACGCCACCACACCCCGCTGCTCTCCACCCCACATCGTCCCAGATAAACTAACACACGGGGCCAAGCAGGTGGCGGAGTCTAGCCCTGCGCCCACGGTTCCCTCCCCTCCCCTCGCCTCGCCTCTCCGCTACTCCCAAAACACTTCCTCTCTCCCTTCCGGAAGCTCGGAGGCCCCACCCACTACCGCAACGCCTGGCCTTAGCCAATGGCCTGCTTCCCAAGGAACGTTACCTCTGACCTCGGGGCTCATCAGACAGTGGGACAAACTCCTCGCGAGAGGTGAGGTTGAAGCTGCCTCCGCCATCTTGGAGATGGGAGACGGGCGATGGCTGTGGTCCTTCTGCTAATGCAAACAACAAAACGGGCACAGTAGTCAACGCGGGGGAGCTTATCATCACAGAAACTGTTGACCAAAGCTACAGAAGGAGCGAGGGTGTCAAAGCGCAGCGCAGCGACATCGATAGCCGCTTCTGCTTGCGGGAGCGGCAGAAGTGAAGTGAGTGGAGGCCGGAAGGATGGTGCAGTCCTGTTCCGCCTACGGCTGCAAGAACCGGTACGATAAGGATAAGCCCGTTTCTTTCCACAAGTAAGTACCCCGCGCGTCTCGCGGGGCTGGCCCAGCTCGGGCTGGGGGCGAGCGGCCGGTTAGGCTCGGGGGCGGGGCCAGCTCGCGTGCGCGCGAGCCCGGATGAGGGGCGGGGTGGGGCAGGGGCGGGGCCAGCGCGTGTGCGCGCGAGCCCTGATAAGTGAGGCGAGGCGGGGCGGGGCGAGGCGAGGCGAGGCGGGGCGGGGCCAGCGCGTGTACGCGCGAGCCTCGATGAGCGGCCGGGGCGGGCCGGTCCTCCTTGCGGTCCCTAGTCCCAGTCCCCCGTCCGCCCGGAGGCGGGTGTACCCGCCTGGGTCGGAGCTCTCGTGCTGCCGCCTCCGGCTGCGCGTGGCTGCCATGGCCGTTTCTTGCGCTCGGGAGTCGGAATCCACGCCCGGGGTTCGTCCGCTGCCTGCCGTGGGCGTGTCGGCGCCCCGGGAGCGGCGTCGGTGGGCCCCGCGCGAGCCTCTGCTCTGGGGTAAGAGGGCAGCGAGGGCGTAGTGGCGCCTCCTGAGTCTGTACGGAGCCGAGACAAAGGCTGTGACCGTGACGGAGCCGCTCTTTTCCCAGCCTTGGCGTGCCTGGGAGGCCAGCTTCGCAGCAACTCCGGCTTTCGGGGAGGACGTGTGCACTCAGTGCCTAGGGGCCCACCTCGGGGGACCTCTGGGGGTCGGAGGGAGCCTCGGGGACGGCCGGGACCTCAGTTGGCGCACAGCGATGGGGTCCCAGGTCCGCACAGCTGGCACGCCCCCGAGGAAGCCCTGAGCTGGGAATCTGCCCCACAGGTCCCGGGGCCCTGATGGCTTTGGCGGCTAGAGAGGCCTGTGGGAGAAACGACCTCGTGATCATCGGATGTCTGCAAAGTGGGACTCGATGGCATTTTCATTCCGCCAAATAAAGTGTTTACAGACTTTAAATTATTATAAATATGATTATTATTTATTATTACCAAACCGATGGCAAATTATGGGAATTATTCGTAAGTAAATAATTACAAAAGCAAAATTTAGGTATTCCGTCCGTTTTTTTTGGTGGGGTCGTGCGTAACAGGGGATGTGGGTGCATTTTATGCTTAGTATAAGAGGGACCCAGGGAAACGAGTGCCTTACCACGCAGATCTGAGTGTTGATTGATGGACCACCACCACCATCCCCATCCTGCCCTCCACCTGCAGGTGGACGACTGAGAGCACCTAACACTCCAGGATCTACTTCAGTATATCCTGAGATTACTTCTTTATTTGTTGGAATTTCTGAAAGCTGATGGATTGACTTCTAGTTCTTTGAAAGTGTAGGAATAGATCAGAAGACGGTGACATTGTTACATTACAGCCAGCTCTGCACAACCCCGTTTCTAATCAAAGAATTTAAAAATGTGGAAAACCCTTCATTGATACTAGAAACTAAGGATGGCGTTCACACATCAGAAATAGTTTCTGCTGGCTGTCAAATGATTGGGTCAAAGGAAGAGCTGATCTGCCTCTCGTTCTTACCCATAAAGAACAATTTTTTGGAAATAGATGGGAATTACCCTCACAGAACTCCATCATGAACAGCCTGATCATTGTAGTGTGTAAGACAGGAGGCCCAAGGGGCTGAATTTTACTGGTGATGGCTACCATCTGTTGTATTTCTGGAGGCCATTTCCAGCAGAGATCTTCTACCACTTTCTCCATGGTGGCCCAGTGGCAGCAGCTGTTCTGGGCAAAGAAAAGAACTGTCCCAAAGATTGGTTAGTTCTTCATGATAGCAGAGTCCAGCTCTGGCATACTTTATGTAGAAGAGAAGCTAGAACATGGAGTTGAAGCATCCTTTGGCTTTCCAGTTTCCCCATTTCACTAGTTACTTGACTTGGAAAAGTAAAATCACAATAAATATAAACCCTTTCTAAGCCCACTTTTCTGGGCCAGATGGACATATTCCAGTTGATTTCGAGGTAAAATAAGATCAATAATATTCTTGTGCTGGAATTAAAAACAAATCAGAAGACTAAAATAAATTAAAACTTTTATTTTTTAAGTTAAAAAAAATTGGGCAGCCCCGGTGGCTCAGTGGTTTAGTGCCGCCTTCTGCCCAGAGCGTGATTTGGAGACCTGGGATCGAGTCCCACGTTGGGCTCCCCACATGGAGCCTGCTTCTCCCTCTGCCTGTGTCTCTACCCCTGTCTCTTCTCTCTGTGTATTCTCTACCCTTGTATATTTAGATGTGTGTGCAATACCTGTATCACTTAGTGAAAGTTAGTGAAAATAAGTTCTTCATTTATTTGAAAGTAATGGAGGGAGACCAGTGATAGTACTGCACATGTCCCTTGACTTCCACTTCCAGCTTCCCATCATCTCCTCTTCCCATTGCATGCATCTGTCTGCATGGCTGACCTTCAATATGTATGTTTTTACATTTTGTAAATTTTTAATCAGCCTGTCTTGTTTATATTGTTTGCATCATTGTTTCTGACATTCTCGTAACCACCCTGTGATCAAAAGATTCCTATAACAAATACTGCTTTTTATTTTTAAAAAATTTTTAATTTAAATTCTAGTTAGTTAACATACAGTGCAATATTGGTTTCAGAAGTAGAATTCAGTGATGCATCACATAGAACACCCACAAATACGGCTTAAAAAAAAAATTCCATGCTGAGAGGGTTGACTTCTATGACACCCTAGTAGTTGGTCATTTTATTTATAGGATCTTTAAAACATTCTTAACTCAGGTGAATAAAGGCACAACTAAAAACCATCCAAAAAAAAAAATTGCAGAGCTAGTGTTTTAATCAAATGTCCCTTAGCTTGTAAACAGCAATATAAAATGGTTCTTTCCTAAACATGAAAGTTTAGATGTGTTTTTTTTTTCTTTTAAAATAAGGTCAGAGAACTGAATTATCTCTTCTTCTTAGGTTCCCTCTTACTCGACCCAGTCTTTGCAAAAAATGGGAGGCAGCTGTCCGAAGGAAAAACTTTAAACCCACCAAATATAGCAGTATCTGTTCGGAACACTTTACTCCGGACTGCTTTAAGAGGGAGTGCAACAACAAGTTGCTGAAAGAGAATGCTGTACCCACAATATTTCTCTGTACTGAGCCACATGACAAGGTAATGTGTGTTTTAATATAATGGATTTTCTATTTATAAAATTCATGTTTTTATTGTGGAAAATTGAAAGTAGTATAAAGAAAATAAGTGTTACCTAGAAGCCATCACTGGTAGGTAACTCACTGTCAACAATGATGTACTTTTTAAAACTACAAAGTGTAGTTTATTAAAGTTAAATATACTCACACTAAGAAAGTCAGTCTAGCTTTGTAAGTTACTTTAAGGTCACTCTGTACTACTTACGTGTATGTTGATAAGTTTTGGGTTTCCTTTTTCAGTTCCAAAGTATTTCCCCCTCAGTTTAAGTGTTTCGTATTTAATAAAATCTTATCATTCTCTTTTTTGCATCCCGTTTTTACTTTAGGTGAAAAAGTATAATTAAAACTTAAATTTTTTTGTTTTAAAATGTTTCTATCTCAAAGATTCACAAAAAAGTCTTTTTTTTTAAATCAAAGTGTAATTGACACATGATGTTACATTAGTTTAGATGTACAACATACTAATTAGACAAATCTACATATTATGCTGTGCTCACCACACTGTAGCTGCCATCTGTCACCACACAAAGCTATTAGAATACCACTGACCATCTTCCCTATGCTATATCTTTCATCCTTGTGACTTGAACACATAACTGGAAACCTATACGTTCCACTCATTTTTCCCATCCCCAAATCCCCTCCCCTCAGGCAACTATCACTTTGTGCTCTGTATCTATGGGTCTGTTTCTACTTGTTTGTTTTTTCATTTGTTTGTGTTTTAGAGTTCACATATCAGTTGAATCACATGGTATTTGTCTTGCTCTGACTTTTTTCACTTAGCATAATTCTTTCTAGGTCCATGCATGTTGTTGAAAAATGGCAAGATCTCATTCTTTTTTATAACTGAGTAATATTCTTTTTTATAACTGAGTAATATTCTAATGTGTGTGTATATATGTATGTACATGTATAGATATATGTGTATATCCTCCCCCCCCAACATGCACACACAGAACATCTCTATCCATTCATCTATTAATGGACACTTGGTTTGCTTTCGTATCTGGGCTATTGTAAATAATGCTACAGTAAACATAGAGGTACATATTTCAAATTAGTGTTTTCATTTTCTTTAGGTAAATACCCAGTAATTATAGAATTACTGAATCATATGGTAATTCTATTTTTAAGTTTTTGAGAAATTTCCATACTTGTTTCCACAGTCACTACACCAATTTGCACTCTCACCAACAGCACATATCCTTGTCAACACTTGTAATTTCTTGTCTTTTTGATACTAGTCACTCAGATCTAAAGTGATAACTCATTGTGGTTTTGATTTTCATTTCCCTGATTTGGTAATATTGAGTATCTTTTCATGTGTCTGTTGGCCATGTGTATGTCTTTGGGAAAAATACCTGTTCATGTCCTCTGCCCATTTTTTAATTGGATTTTATATTTCTTTGGTGTGGTGTTATCTAAGTTCTGTATATATTTTGGTTATTAACTCCTTAGCAGATATAGTGTTTGCAGATATCTTTTTTGCATTCAAAAAACGTTATTTTTATTTTATTTTTTAAAAGATTTATCTATTTTAGAGGGAGCACTGGGGAGAAGGTCAGAGGAGGAGAGAGTATCTCAGGCATACCCCCTGCTGAGCACAGAGCCCCCCATGTGGCCCCCCTCTCATAGCCTTGAGATCATGACCTGAGCCAAAATCAAAAGTGGGACACTTATCTGACTAAGCCACCCAGGCACCCCAGCACTAGGTTGCATTATAATTTGGTTGATGGTTTCCTGCACGGTGCAAAAGCTTTTTGTTTTGGTATAGTCCCAATTGTTTATTTTGCTTTTGTTTTCCCTGCCTGAGAAGACACATCTAGAAGAATGGCTCTAAGGCTGATGTCAGAGAAATTACTATGTTTTCCTTTAGGATATTTATGGTCTCAGGTCTCCCAGTTAAGTTTTTGTTTGGTTTTTTTTTTTTTAAGATTTCATTTATTCATGAGAGACATAGCGAGAGAGAGGCAGGCTCCATGCGAGGAGCCTGATGTAGGACTTGATCCCAGGATCATGCCCTGAGCCAAAGGCAGATGCTCAACTGCTGAGCTACCCTGGCATCCCTCCCATTTAAGTTTTTAATCCATTTTGAGTTTAGTTTTGTGTATGGTGTAAAAAAGTCCAGTTTCTTTTTTTTTTCATGTAACTGTACAGTTTCTCCAGCACCATTTATTGAAGAGTCTTTTACCTAATAGATATTATTTCCTCTGTTGTAGATTAATTAATTAACCATATAAGCATGGGTTTATTTCTGGGCTTTCCGTTCTATTCCATGGACCTATGTGTCTTGTTTTTGTGTCACTTTTGATTACTACAGCTTTGTAGTATATCTTGAAAATTGGGATTATGATACCTCCCGCTTTGTTGTTTCTCAAGTGTGCTTTGGCTGTTTGGAGTCTTTTGTGGGTTCTGTACAAAATTTTAACATTATTTGTTCTAGTTCTGTGAAAAATGTTGTTGGTATTTTCATAGGGATTGCATTGAGCCTATAGATTGCTTTGGGTAGTATGGACATTTTAACAATGTTAATTCTTCCAGTCCATAAAAATGATATATCTTTCCATTTATTTGTGTCATCTTCAATTTGTTTCATCAGTGTTCTGTAGTTTTTAGAGCATAGGTCTTTCACCTCAGTTAAATTTATTCCTAGGTGTTTCATTCTTTTTGGTGTAATTATAAATGGAATTATTTTCTTAATTTCTCTTCCTGCTACTTCATTATTAGTGTATAGAAACACAACTGATTTCCATATATTAATTTTGTATCCTGCAACTTTACTTATTACCTCTAATAGTTTTTTGTTGCAGTCTTTAGCATTTTCTTTGTATAGTATCATGTCATCTGCAAATAGTGATAGTTTTACTTCTTCCTTACCAATTTGGATGCCTTTTATTTCTTTTTCTTGTCTGACTGCTATGGCTCGGACTTACAGTACTATGTTGAATGAAAATAGCAAGAGTGGACATCTTGTCTTGCTTCTGATCTTAGAGGGAAAACTCTCAGTTTTCACTACTGAGTGTAATGTTACCTGTGGGTTTTTCATATATGGCCTTTATTATTTTGAGGTATTTTCCCTCTGAGCCAGCTTTTTTGAGACTTTGTCATAAAAGGATGTTGAATTTTGTCAAATGCTTTTTCTGCATTTATTGAGATGATCATGTGATTTTTACCCTTTGTTAATGTAGTGTTTCATATTGATTTATGAATATTGAACCATCCTTGCATCCCTGGAATAAATCCCACCTGATAGTGGTGAATGATCCTTTTAGTGTATTGTTGAGTGTTTAATGTATTGTCAAATATGCTCGTATTTTTGTTGAGGATTTTTGAATCTTTCTTCATCAGGGATTTTGGCCTGTAGTTTTCTTATAGTGTCTTTGTTTTTGGTATTAGGGTAATGTTCGCCTAACAGAATGTATTTGGAAGCTTTCCTTTCTTTTCTGTCTTTTAGAATATTTTGAGGAGAATAGGTATTAACTCTTTAAGTGTTTGATAGAATCACCATCTGGTCCTGGACTTTTTTGATTACCTTTTCAATTTCATTACTAGTGATTGGTTTATTTATACTTTCTATTTCTTCCTGTTTTGGAAGAATGTGTGTTTCTGAAAATTTAACCATTTCTTCTAGGTTGGTCCAACTTATAAAAATGTCATTCTTAAATTCCACAGGGGTTCTTTTAAATTGTTATTTGTAGTTACTAAACTTGAACCTACTTTGCATTATTGTTGTAGAAGGAAGATCTTCTGGAGCCACAAGAACAGCTTCCCCCACCTCCTTTAACACCTCCCATTTCCCAGGTTGATGCTGCTATTGGATTACTAATGCCTCCTCTTCAGACCCCTGATAATCTCTCAGTTTTCTGTGACCACAACTATACTGTGGAGGATACAATGCACCAGAGAAAAAGGATTCATCAGCTAGAACAACAAGTTGAAAAACTACGAAAGAAGCTCAAGACTGCACAGCAGAGATGCAGAAGACAAGAACGACAGCTTGAAAAATTAAAGGAGGTTGTTCACTTCCAGAAAGAGAAGGACGACATATCAGAGAGAGGTTATGTGATTTTGCCGAATGACTATTTTGAAATAGTTGAAGTGCCAGCATAAAAAAAAAAAGATATTTGTATTGGCTTTTAATGGGGCAACACCACACATCCTCTTCTAGCCTATAAAGGAGTTTCATTTGAAAAAATAACACTTGATTACTTGTATAAAAACAATTCAGAATATTTTTTTAAATAAATTAGATATATACTGTAAAATTGTAAAATTTTTGTTTCTAATTTCAGGGTTTTTACATTTTAACAAAATATCTTAAAAGTTAAAGACTAACCTCAGAACTCCAATATAAGTTGGTTTCAAATTGAGTTTTGTTTTTTGGGTATTTATAGAAATGTAAAAATGAGAAATAAAGTGAATGTGAACAGTATAACAAGGACAATTTAAGTTTAAAATTTAAAATTAATGCAGGTTATTAAAAGAATTTAGTTACATTGTAAGTCAGAAGTATAGGTCAGATCATGAGATGTAACTTCTCAGAAAAAATATATATTCTTATTCACATATTCTTATTTGTAAAGTCAGAAGATTTATCTTTCTTAATCACTTATCAAAAATAAGTTGACAAGTCAATACTTCAAAAAATAAATTGGTTATCTTCAGAGCAGAAAATGAAGAGTCATTCTATACCTAGTCAATGTAGGTAAATAAGGATGAATCATTCTTTAAAAGTGGGTTTGCCTTTTTTCCCCACTAACATTATTAAACTAGAAGTGTATTTCCAGTGGAAGAGACATTCTTCAATAAAGTAGGCATTGTTATTAAACAAGTAATAAAAATGGGGGCCTGATCCATAGTATGCCTTTTTCTTTCATTACCCCCAAGCTTAAGGAGCATCTGGTTCCCAACTGTTGTTATATCTGTATACAAATCTCTAACAAATGTGTTGTGTCAGTAGAGTTTGATTTCTACTGTAATATGATCAATTGATTTTGGTCACATCTTCACATTAAAAAAGGATTTCTTCACTTTTAACACAAGTTAGAAATTATATCCCATTTATTTAACCGAGTGATTTGTATTCCAAAGCAACCTAATATGTAGTGTTTGTTATTGAACGTTGAGATTTAAACACTGAAGTTTCTGTTCAAACTATGAGTTGTGTTCTGACGTGAGAAGTTTTAGTTATATATTTGAAATGAAAATATGTTCTGAGTAAACAAATACTGCCTTAGGAATTATCTACTTAGATTTAGAATAATTATTCCTATTATAATTATTTTACATTTCAGAATACACTGAGGTAGTTGAAGAACAGGTCTTCTAAGGCAGTATTAAAAATATGAAACAATGACATTCAAAAGTGTCTTTTGTACATGTGGTTTTCAGTGTAATTTACTGCTATGCTGCCAGTGGATGATACCTTGATTTTTTATGAACCAGTATTTCAAAAATAGAAAATTATAATGAGAAGATTACTTGAAGTTATGTGGTCTAATGCATATAGAACTAACTCTAATGAATCAGAGGATGTTTTCTAGTTATTCATGGATCTCATCACTGTTTTGGAAACCCATGAAGTAGTGTGTGTATGTGTCCCCAAAACTAAGAATCCAACATTGAATTGTGAAAGTGGCAATCCCAATTACTTAGCATCTTTACATTATGATTTAACCTGGAGTTTCTTTTCCTAACAAACATAAATCTCTATTTGGAAAGAACTGAGCAAGCAGCATGTATACCAGCTGTTTGCATTTAAATAAATTGTCATAGTTTAACATAGGGAGTTTGAGGTACAGGTGGTTATTTCTGAATATGAGCTATAACATTTGGTGAATGTTTTAAAAATTTATTTTGTCTACTGTATTGTTTATTTCATTGCCACGTAAAGGAAATAGGTTCTGTTCAAGCATGTTGAAATTCAGTCTGGAACAAATGTGTTGGGGAGATTTATGTGAACTGCAGCATATTCTGAAAGATTACATTTATTTTAAGCACATACAGTAACATCCTAAAATTTCCATCTATGTGTGATGATGTAATCTGGCAATAATGATAAGTAACTTTCTTAATAGAACTGTTAGGAAAGCATATAAAATCATAGAATTTTAGAACTAGAAGGGACTTACAAATGATTGAACAGTAGCATAACTTCCAAACCTTGCAGAAATATGTTTGTAAAATATCCATGACAAGTCATTTACCATTTACATTTAAGCAGTTATTCTTCTGAGATTCTTTAAAATGGGTTTCTGGTTTAGGATAGAATTAGTTGCCATTCTTTTTAATACTTGGTTATAGTGGAAATATAATCTTCACTTTGGACTGCTTCATAGTTTGAACCATCAAATTCTGAGTTAAAGACGTTTTAAAATTTTGTAAAATAATTTAAATGTTTAGTAATTGTATACCTGTTATGTGAACTAAAAATAATTCTGTTATTGCAGTAAACAGTGTAAAATTATTAGCAGAACTTTTTACTTGGAAGTCCAAGCACATGAGATCTTTCTTTTCTAACTATAATTTGTGTAATCCCTTTCTTAGAAGTGTGACAGTAATGATGAAGGCATATGAAAGTTTCACTTGATATGGATTTTTTTGGTTCAATTAATATTCTCTGATCATCTTTAGTTATTAAAAAAATATACATACATATCCAACACTTATGGCTTTTATAAAGTCAGTAGTAAGCAACATAAAATAATAAAAGTGCATATGATCTGTAAAATGAAAACTCCTGTTTAATGTTCCAGAATTTTTTAAAGACAGCCATCCATAAATAGCATTTAAAGGAAAAAAGAGCTGATTTACAAATCTGCTTGATTATTACTCTTCCTGATATTGGCAACCATGTGAATCAGATGACCAGTGAGTAAATAGCATTGCTCTTATGATGGTAACTGGTGTTTCTGAGCATTATGATTTTATATATTGTGTACTAAAATACAATCCTTGATGTGAAAAAAAATATCAAAAGGCAAACAGTGTTTTACAAACAAGCAAAAAGGCAGTTATAATTATTGTACTTAAAATAATGGAAAAGTTTGCTCTTAAAATTTCATGTCTTGATATCTTTTTTACCTTGGATGTTGTTTTATTCTATTGAGAATTTTTTCTGAATGATAAAATATTTTTTAAACTCAAATCTATTAAGAATTTATATTCTTTTCTAATTCATAGTATTTGGGGTTTTGAGATGATCAAATTTTCATTTTTAAAATATCCTAAGGGATATGAATAAATGTCCTTTCTTTTAAACTATTTTTGGTGAGACAAACTATATGATATTAACAATAGACAAATGGCTTCTGGAATGGCTGCATGTTCACCCTAATTACCATGATTGGTTAGAAAAAAAATTGTTTTTAAGAACCATTTAAGATCTCTGCATATTATCTTAAGGTCATACAGCAAATGAAACATTCAAGAAAATCTAAACCTCTAAAAGAATTTTAAGAGCCTATGGTATTTATGCCACAACTTATTCTTGCCCTAAACCACTACCATCACCACCGCCCGTCACACACCCCCCACACACACACACACACAAAGCCGAGCGCTACAGAAACTCCATTCTGAGTGGATATGGCCAAGAAGACAATGTTCACTCCTCAAGTACCCACTCAAGTCTTGTGGTATCTCCCAAGGAAGAAGAGGCAGCCAGTATTTCCCATAGCCCCTTAGATTTGTGTTTCAAAGGCTAATCTGTAGGCAAGTGCAGCCAAAATGTCAGGACTCCCTCCACCCAGCTTCCACTCGGGGTGGAGGAGTTACCTCAGGTGCAGCAGGCCAAGAGTACCAGGACTCTGATCACCCTTTTCCTAGGTGCTCATGGGGTGACGTTTCCATGTCCCAGGGAGGCAAGCCAAGAAGACTAGAAGCTACCATCTCCATTGAGTTCTGATCATAAAGCAAGCACATTAACCCTGGAGAAGCAGATCATGGCCCCTACCAACCATAGCTAAGAGTAGCAGCATAGAATTTTTATGCCCTCCAGGGGAGAGGAAGTCATGAGAACAGAGAGGTCTGAAGCTCTTACCAAAGGAACTGATTTTATCTGACAGAGTATGGGGGAGATTCAGGACTAAGGAAGCTCCCAAGGACAATGAAAAATTAAGTGGTAAAAAATTAAAAGGGGTAGCTCCACCAAATTAACAAGCTAAGTTATTTTTAGGCTAGGTAATTTACTAAAGAGAATAGGGAAAGGGGAAAGAAGAGCCTTCCTGTAGTCATAACAAGCCTCAAAGACTGGACTCAAAAACTACCTCTGCAAAAAGGCCTGAATCTAATCGGATCAGACTACAGAGCAATTTAAACTCTAGGACATCATCAAAAACAACAACAAAAAAAACCCAATCCACTGACATGGAACTAACATCTGAGTTTGACACCAGCAAAGGCAGATAGTTTAACAAAGAGATCAGGAAAATAGAGAAAGGCCTGTTAAAAGCTCTATCCCCCAGGTCATGAGGTGCATGCTCAAGGCTGCAAAGATCTTACAATATATATAGTCTATTCTGTCCAGTTTTTAACAAAAAGTTATGAGATATGCAACGAACTAGGATAGTGTAACTCATACGAAGGGAGGGCAGGTAACAAACTGTGAGAAAGGCCAGATAACAGAATTAACAAAGACTTCAAAGCAGCCATTATAAATAAGCTATGTAAATATTAGTTCCAGAACTAATAGAAACTATGCTTAAATAAGGAAGGAATGATGACAATATCTCATAAAAAAGCAAGTATCAAGGGGATGCCTGGGTGGCTCAGTGGTTGAGTGTCTGCCTTCAGTTCAGGGCATGATCCTGGGGTCCAGAATCAAGTCCCGCATTAGGCTCCTTGTGGAGGACCTGCTTCTCCCTCTACCTGTGTCTCTGCCTCGCTGTGTTTCTCTCATGAATAAAAAAAATCTTACAAAAGAAAGTATCAAGGAGGTACAAATTTTTAAAAAGGATGTTCTGGAGGTGTAAAGTGCAATAATCAAAATGAAAAATTCACTGGAGGGCAGCCGGGGGGTGGGGGGGGGGGGGGGTGGGGGCTCAGTGGTTTAGCGCCACCTTCAGCCCAGGATGGATCCTGGAGGCCCAGGATTGAGTCCCACACGGGGCTCCCTGCATGGAGCCTGCTTCTCCCTCTGCCTGTGTCTCTGCCTCGCTCTCTGTGTGTCTCTCATGAATAAAATAAAATCTTAAAAAAAAAAATTCACTGGAGAATCTTAACAATTGTTTGAACTTGCAGAAAAATATCAATGAACTTGAAGATCTATTACACAATCTGAAAAACAGAACAAAGATGAGGAAAATGAGCAGAGCCTCATACCTCAGAGCCTCAGAGAAACCTAATACCCCTAAACACATCAATATATGTATAATGGAAATACCAGCAGAAGGGAGGGTGGAATAGAAATGGTGGAGAGAAAAATATTTGAAGAGGGGTGTCTGAGTGGCTCTTGATCTTGGGCTTATGAGTTCAGGCTACATCTATGGTATAGAGATTACTAAAAAAATAAACTTAAAAAAATTTGAAGAAATAATGGGTGAAAATTCCACACATTTGATAAAAAACACTAATCTACAAATTCAAGAAACAAAATACTAAGATGAACACAAAGAAATCCACATCCAGATGTGTTATCGTAAAAATGATCAAAATCAGAGAAAAATGACATATGCAAGGGAACCCTGATAAGATTAACATCTGATTTCTTACCATAAAAAAGTGAAGACCAGGAGGCAGTGGGATGACATTCAAAGCGATGAAAGAAAAACTTTTTAACCAAAAATATCATATGTAAGTAAAACTATCAAAAATGAAGGTAAAGGAGGTTTCCAGGAAAATGGTGCAATAAGAAGCACCAGGAATCTGTCTCCCCACCTAAGTAACAATGGCACTGATGTAATCTATCTGATATAAATATTTGGAACTCTGGAATCTATTGAGGGCTTGCAACTTCCAGAAGAAGGCTTGAATGGTAGACTGTGGTTAATATCAGTCAATTTCAGCTATTAGCTCATTTGCCACCTCCACCCCCATGGCAGGCAGTGGAGGAGTTACAAGAGAGAAGCTTGTGTGTAGCTGGTGAGAACTATGGTGAGCAATGAGGATCCTGTTCTCCAAACATCAGAGATCTGTGTTCTAAAACATGATTGCTATTTTGATCATAAAGGTGAAGACACAGGGCAGCCCAGGTGGCTCAGTGGTTTAGTGCTGCCTTCAGCCCAGGGTGTGATCCTGGAGACCCAGGATTGAGTCCCATGTTGGGCTCCCTGCATGGAGCCTGCTTCTCCCTCTGCCTCTGTCTGCCTTTCTCTCTCTGTGCCTCTCATGAATAAATAAATAAAATCTTTAAAAAAAAAAAAAAAGATGAAGACACAGAGGTGAGCAGCCATTGTTGCATCCCCCTCACTCTGCAAGCTCCTCTGCTCTTACCTGACTTCAGGGAATTTAAGGGACTGATGCCTTTCCTTCCCTAATTCATTTTTTTTTGGGGGGGGGTCCTCTTTTGAGAGCTAGACATTAAAGACTAGGGCATTCAAAGCATCCATACATACAGGGAAATTATAAAATCATTATGCATACCCAGGGAAAAACTGAAATCTTGGGGAAGAACTGAGAAAATGTTAAGTTTGCACCTTATGCTGACTCTTGGAAGATTCTTAGTAGATAGCCTAAAACAATAAAAAAATAAAAATAAAAATAAAACATAACCCAACAAACCCTAAGGAGGGGAGAGAAACATTTCCAGTTACCACATGATTAGATTCAAATGTCCAGTTTTCAACACAAGAGTCATACACATATCAGAAAAGGAATGTTTGGCCCATTCAAAGGAAAAAATAAATCCAAAGCAACTGTTCCTGAGAAAATACAATTGGCAGATCTTTAATATTAGACAACTTAAATATTAAAACAACTAAAGATGTTTAAGAACTAAAGGACAGGGCAGCCCGGGTGGCTTAGTTGTTTAGTGCAACCTTCAGTCCAGGGCCTGATCCTGGAGACCTGGGATCGAGTCCCATGTCAGGTTCCCTGATGGAGCCTGCTTCTCCCTCTGCCTGTGTGTGTGTGTGTGTGTGTGCGTGTGTGGGTGTGCGTGTGTGTGTGTGTGTGTATGTCTCACGAATAAATAAAATCTTAGAAAAAAAATGCAAGTACTTAAAAAAAACTGAAGGGGATAGAAATAAAACAGTAAAGAAGCAGAGTTTTTGTATGTCACTAAAGTTAAGATAGTATAAATTCAAATTATAGTGTTATAACTTTAGGATGTAAAATGTAATCCTCATGGTAACCACAAAGAAAATAGCTATAGAATATACACAAAAGGAAATGAGAAGGGAATTTAAATGTTTCACTATTTAAAAAAGCTCAATGAAACAAAAGTAATACAGGAAGTAAACAAAAAAGCTATAAAACATATTGAAATTAAGTAGCTAAATGACAGAAGTAAATCCCTCATCAGTAATTACTTTAAATGTGAATGGAATAACTGTCTAATCAAAAAACAGAGATTGGTAGAATGGATTTAAAAAAAAAAGATCTAACTATATGCTGTCTCTAAGAGACTCACTTTAGATCCAAAGACACAAATAGATTAAACATGAAAGGGTGGGGAAAAAGATATTCAATGCAAACAGTAACCAAAAGAGAGAAAGGGTGGCTAACAGACAAAATAGGCTTTAGATTAAAAAGATTTATGAGACAAAAAGATATTTTGTCTTGAAAAAAGCTCAAGAATAAATAGGACACAACAATTATAAACACTCATATACCTAGTAAAAGAAAAATTTGGCACAATCGAAGGGAGAAATAGTTCTACAAAAATGAAGATAAAATAAAAAAGATTCTCAGATAAGCAAAAACTGAATCTGTTGCTAGCCAACCCACCTTAAAATAACTACTAGAGGAAGCTTTTCACACTGAAAGCAAGTGACACTCAAGAGTAATTTGAATTAAAAAAACAACAACAAAGATTCCCAATAAAGGTGATTGTGTAATTATAAAAGACAGTACAACTGCATTTTTTTACTCAACTAATTTAAAAAGCAATTGCATACAACTATGTATATAATTGTTAGCTTATAACAAAGAGAAATGTAATCTACTT